TGAGAACAGAAATCGTGCGGCAGCAGCAGCAGGAGGCCCCATTAGCTAAAGTGGTACCTCAGGTAAAGAACAGTTTCAGGTTAAGAACGGACCTCCAGATCGAATTAAGTTCTTACCCCGAGGTACCACTGTATTTGCTTTTGGAGTTTTTTGCTATCTTCTCGCTAGTTTTACTTCATTACTTTTCACTATTGGGTTGTTGTTTTTGATGGGTCCCCTCTGCCCTGCTCTTATTGTTTTAGAATTGCTTAAATTTACTTAAGCGTTGTTGGTAGCTACTTCAGCTTGTTGGCGAAGGAAAGCGGAATGCACGTTCTCTGAAAAAAATGTTTGCCTCTGATTTATTAGATCACACTTTATAAGTGTTTGGCTTCTTTCACCCAGTGCCTTTTGCCATTTAACTACTCATGCCTCTGGAGATGTTGCTGGACTGCAACTCCTAGCAAGCTGTCAGTTCTGGTCACAAAGCTTATGAGCAGAATACCTAAAAGATCCCCTCACCCATCAAGAGGGCTTCCTGCAGATACCATCTCATCAGGAGGTCTGCTCCAAAATGGTTTCTGTTGACTGTGAGACATTTTATGGGAAGCAGTCATGAATGGAATCAAAGAAATGTTAGGAATACATTCTTCACGGAACAGAGTAATAATTCCTTTAAACTTTAAAAAGCGTTCCAGAAGTTTCTTCATTATGTGGGAGTGGCACTCCAGGCTTAATTGGTGTCAGTTGGAGATGCAATTTCAGCACAAGGAAAGCACACATACATGCTGAGTTTATACCGTGCAGGAGAGATATATGTATATATTTTAGAAGAGAAATGCTTGTGCAACCAGTCAAGCAAAAAGGAAGCTCTTGACTGAGGACTTTGTCTGTGACTACTGTTCCTGTCATCTGCCACCAGGGAAATACTCTGCTATAAACAGTAAGATGAGGTTTTACTGAGGTGCCACCACACAAGCAGAAAGCGCAGCAGAAGTGTGTGGGCGGTAACCTCTAATAAGAAATACCTGACCATTGGCCACGCTGGCTGCGGCTGATGGGAATTGGACTCCCAACAACATCTGGACGGCTTCAGGTTCCCCATTCCTGGTTTAGAACAATGTGCTGGTGTGTGACACTAGCATAGATGGACATACAATAACCACCAACTTTCAGGTGTGGGCCTTTTAATCTCAAATAATGCATTATGTACTTGTATGTATGCCGTTATTTCTGCTGGGCAGCTGGCTCCCTCCTGAGAAGAATTCAGGTCCTACAGTGAAAAACCTTTTTAAATTCTTTAAAAGAAACCAAAACATCTGAATAATAACAATTCTCCCCAACCTTGATCCATACATGAGCTCTGCATTTAGTTGTACTTAATGTAGCCCTAGTTTAAGTTGGAACTCCAGCCAACCTTCAGTAGGGCTAGACCATTGCACAGTCGGTGGGTTCTGATTAAATAAAAGCAGAAAGAAAGTAGGTTTGACTCACACCAGCGGCACTTAAAAGCAATCCCCAGGCATCCTCCATATAACTAGGTTTTGGGTGTTCAAGTAGCTTTACGGAGGAAGGTTTTCTTTTCAATCTACAATGCCCTCATAGTCAGGAGAGAAACAGAGCTTTTCAGCTACAAAAATGAGTGAGAAAACATAGAATCAAATCTTTTGATTTGTGCCTGAAAGTTCATGATGGTATGCGAGTGACTAAAGGCCCATATAGCTCAGAGAGCAGCTTTACTTATGACACTAACAGCCAACGATATCCATTAAGATATGCTGAGAGCTGCACTGGTTGTCAAGTTGCTTCTGGAACAGGTTCAATATTCTAAGGTTAATTCACAAAGGAACCAAAACACCTGGGCCCAAAAATACCTTAAGGATCGTCTGATTCATTATGTTCCACCTTGATCACTGCGGTATTCTGATGGAGCACTTCTTGTGGTTCCCCATATCCCCAAGTTTCAGTCAGCCTTCCTTAATAGGGATCACGCCTTTAAGGTGGTACTCCCTGCCAGTAAAGTGTCCACAGGAATCCTGGTGCCCTTCTTTTAGACATCTCCAAAAAACCGATTACTTAGACAGGCCTTTGAAATGAGGGTTTTGATTTTACCAACCAATATTTATGGATTATTTGTGGGTGCTGGCTGCCATTTTTGTACGGTGCCTTGTGGTTGTTTACAAAAGTGCCATCTGGTATTGCATGTTTATAGTGCATTCAAATCATTGTTTCTTTACTAATGTAGCTGAGTCCCTTGTTAGAATAAAATACAACTCAAAACAAAAAAAGCTGTCGGTCCCTAGCCTGCTTTCCTGCATGTGTTCCTCTCCACATGATGTTCATTGCTCAAGGCCTTGGTCCAGATTCTCCAGCTCTTGAGGTGTGTCAAGCTATGAGTAGAATTTCCCATTGTACTACTCACTTTGTGGAATGTCCTTAACAGATCACATGTGTGCATTTGTTTCATTTGTTGTGGCTACTGACGTTTCCTTTATGGATCACTGCTTTATGATTGGCTTTTGTTTTTCAATTGATTTCTGGAATTGCATTGCAATTCAATATACATTATATAAGTTGCTAGATTGTTGCCAACTTTAGTCATAGTAACTTAAATCCAGTAATTTAAATGGGTCTACTCCAAGTGGAACTTATTTGGAAGCCTGTTTTATATACTACAACGTGTACATTCAGTATTGTGAGCCCAATCCTGTGGAACTCCCTCCCAGTCAAGATTAGAAAGGCATGCTCCTTGCCGACATCAGGTATATGACAAGGACTTATTTCAGCAGGTATTTTCAGGCAAGAGCTTGGATTTATGTTCAGTTTTACACTTGATCTTTTTATTGTTTTATTCTCTATGGTTTTTTATGTACACTGTTAAGAGATGCTAATGATATTAAGCGTTAAATAAATGCCTTCCATATGTAAATAATAATAATTCATCTTCTCGAACTTGCTGCTTGATCCATCTTGCCCTCTAGTGGTCTTCAGCTGGCACCGCAAGCCAAACGAGTGAAGAACTTGCAGCAAATGGCCTGCCAGACACCATCAGTTTAAAGAGGCTAGTGCAAAATAGTCCTTGGAACATGCCAGGTCCCACCACAAAAGCAAGAAAGAACACAAAACATCACACCCTGCAACACGAGTCAGTCTGTTGGGCCTATCATTTATTAGTACCATGTCAAGTCTGAGCAGACTTATTTGGGAAGCATTGACTTTTTAAGTGTCAGGGATCCAGCTGGTATGCGGTTTTTCAATATACTGTCATCGTTTACATGAAGCTCTTATAACCAAGTGGTTACATACCTGGACCTGGGTTCTGAAGATGGGGTATGTGTGAATACTCAATATTAAAGTACTGAATGAATACAAAACCCCCATGGTCCTCACACACTTCCAGATATTTATCCTGTTCATTACTGCTTGGTTTGTTTTTATTACATTTGTATCCTGCCTTTCCTCCAAGGAGCTCAAGGTGGCATACACACTTTTCCTCCTCCCCCTTTAATCCCTACAACAACCCTGTGAGGTAGGTTAGACTGAGAGGCGGTGACTGACCCAAGGTTACCCAGCGTACTTCATAGATGAGTAGGGATTCAGCCTCTGGTCTCCCAGGTTGTAGTCCAGCACTCGAACCATCTTTTTCCACATTAAAACAAAAGTGAGTTGTAGTATGCCTGGTATAGTAAGTGAATCTCACAAACTCTGCAATGATGACACTTTAATATGTTGTTAATCATTATAGATGTAAGAAAGGGAACGAGCCTGCGCACATGCCGGTTCTACATTTTCATCTATACCAGGGGTCTGCAACCTTTAAGACAAAAAGTGCGACTTGGACCCGTTTCCGAAGAAAAAAAAACTGGGAGCCGCAAAACTCGTCATTATAAAAATAACTTTTTTGTCACTTTATTATTTCTTTCTTTGACCCCTAAGAATTACTCCTCCTCATAGAAATAAATGTTAAATTAACAAGTTACCTTTTTGTGTGTGTGTGTTCTTCACTCCCCTTCAAAACAGTGACCAGCGTACATGCCCCCTTTCAATGCAGTGACCAGCGTACATGCCCCTTACAATGTAGCGGGCGGACGGGAAAGTGACGTAGGGACGGTACGTGACTAACGCACGCACCGCCCCCATGTGACGTCACAGCCAGTACAGCACCCGCCACAGTGGGGAGTGTCGGGGCGCACAATGCGCCTCCTCCCCTCGCTAGTATCCGCCCCGGAGCCGCGGCAAAGGTGTAAAAGAGCCACATGCGGCTCCGGAGCCGCGGGGTTGCTGACCCCTGATTTATACCTTTCCAGTTGTGAATGGAACTGGTATACTAGAGATTGAAGTGTAGCACAGCCAGAAGACGAGCAGGAGGTGGTGAAGAAAGGACTGCCAAGTGGCTCTGTGCAATGATCTCCAGGTCTGGGCATGGCTTAGAAGAAGAAAGCCAGAACGCCTGGCTCCCCACTCTCCTAGATCCATGTTTAATGCAAATTTGAAGCCTCTTTACCCAGGCAGCGTAATAAATGGTAGTAGAAACAAGGATGAGTTTTAATGAAAGGAAAATGGCAGAGCTATGGTAATAGAGAAGTGATGGGGTGGGGAAGAGCCTGAATGAATTATCTTCAAGAACTCTTCCTGCCTGTGAATTTTAAAACAGTGGCATGTTTCTAGCTCTGATTGTTGTGAAGAGGAACTGCCCACTGGATAGAGAGGAAATTCTGCTTATGGAAAATGGTATGCATCTGAAGGCGCCCCTCTGTTAGAGGGGCAATACCCACAGTCACGGGAACTCTAGTGCTCTAGACCAGAGGCAGCATCTGCAAAAGGCTCCATTGCATGAAGGCAAAATGGTGCTGGGCCCTCCAGAGATTTCCCCTATCATTCCTGGCCACAGGCTCTGCTGGCTGTGTCTGATGGGAGTTGGGAGTGCAGCAACATTTGGAGAGCCACAGGTTCCCCCATCCCTGCACTTTAGGACCTTCAGGGAAGTTTTTAGCTCAGTGAACAAGATTAGAATCACACACTTTTCTGCAAAATAAGCAAATTTGTTTACTTGAATTTTGAGTGGGGAGAAATTACATACATAAATCACCAAGATCCTTTAAATTTAGAAATTTATTTTGTTTAATCCACAAGCTTTATAATAGCTTTAGTTTTTTAAAAAAACAAAAAACCCCAGTGAGAACATGACAATATCCAAAGTTCAGGCCCTTCAGGCTTTCAGAGATCACAGCTCTGAAAGTTTCACACTATTCCAAAGGACCGCAACAAGACCAAAAAAAAAAAAAAAAACTATGAATGGGGCAACAACAACATTTCACAGAACAAAACTGTATGCCAAACTCTGCTGAGATTGCCGATTATGGAAACTAATTTAAAAAGAAAACAAAGAGGGAGGGGGCGGGAAAGAGAAAAAACAACAACAAATTAAATTCCAGCATTCCAGATAAACATCATTATAAACCCCACTGGCAAGAGCAGCAGGTTACCATGTAGATACCGTCCTCAAATACTAATCCCGGTTTTAAGCATAGACAATACAGGCAAACAGAGAAATCTGAGAATTTGCAAGTGTTTCTATGCAATTTCTTTGATAACTGAACAGACCACAAATGGCCTAGGGCAAGAAATCAGATTAGAAACTCCATAAGCATTTGTACAACGGCATTTTAGAGGAACTGTGGGATCTGTAAGCTTTGTTTTAAAACCCTTGAAGGGAAGGGGAGGGAGAGAATTCCTTACTGCATAAGAAAATTCTAGTGAAACCATGTCAACTGTTGAAGGAGGTCACTAGTACACCGTGAATGCTTTTTTGTAATGAAGATCCATGCCTTTTTTTAAACATGAACTTCAACCTAGCAATTATTACAACCAATGTTAAAGTCTAAAGCTCAAACACATTTTAGCAATTTGAAATTGAAGTCTGAGTACAAACCAAACAAAATGTACATTATATCAAATGCTGCTTCAGCCTAAGATGGTGGAGACGCTTGCGCCTTCCTCATTGACCTCAGAGCCTTCTCACGCAGATGCTTTTCCAAGTCATCCAGGTTATCTTCTGCTTCACTCTCAGTCTCCTTAACGCAATGGAAAGTCAGCAATTACTTCTATAGTCACAGAATATGAGCCTGAATTAGATTTGGCCAAAGAGCAGAAACTTGCATGATACAAATAGCAAAATTCCTAGGTTTTTAGACTAACACTATCAACATTAGGAATTCTAGTTTGAGACACTGGAGCTATATATAAAATGGAAAGAAGTATTAATAAGTATCACACTTTAGCAGATTTTGCTGAAGCACAATCTTTTTTACGTATTGCCTTTAAAACAGGGATGGAGGACCTCTGACCTACCAGATGTTGTAGGGCTACAATTCCCAAAATCCCTGACAATTGGCTATGTTGACCAGGACTAAGAGCAAGAGTTCCACATCATCTTGAATGCCACAGGCTCTCCACCTCTGCTTTACAAAGGTCAAACAAGCATGGCTTCATTCTCATGGTACAGAGCCCCACGGTGTATTACTAGGCCTTGCCTCTGGTGTGCCTCTAGCAAGGATGCCAAACAACCTCCCTCCATTCTGTACTGCTAGTATGAAAACATGCAATCTCCTTCCCTGGGACAGCAGCTACGCTTGCTGGGAAGATCATAGGTTCCTCCTTTCCAGGTTCTCTCATCACAGCTTCCATCTTATGTTTTATATATGAACATATGTTTTATATCAGCATGTTTCAATACTGACAACAGAGAGAGAGAGAGTGTAGATGGACAGTAGTGAAAGGAAGCCTGAGAACAGCAGCTCAAGCCCCAGCCTTGGTCTCTTCAGTTGCTGGCCCTTTTCCATGTAAGAGCCTCATGCAGGCCAGAACTATGCCTCCTTAAGACAAAGGTTCTCAGGGTGCCAAATACAGCAAAAAGCTGATCCCATGCAAGACCACAGCCTGCAAATGCCTGGAGTACACAGCTCGTGGGTATATTCAAACAAAGGTATTCTTGAACCGTACAAGGAAGAATGCAATCTTTGTGTGCCATTCTATAATAGTTTGTAATCTGATTCCTGAACCCTTAATATTTGAACAATTGTCAGTCAGTTTCCAACCCACCACATTTAATATAGAAAAGTGGTTTATTAATGTTTTGAACAAATATTCACCTTTTGGGGCTCCATATTTTTCTCCTGGTCTTCCTGTGCAGACGTGGTAAAAACAGTCATTGCAGCAGCAACTGCAGCCTTCTCTTTCTTATGCTTCTTATGCTTCTTGTGCTTTTTATCCTTTTTATGCTTCTTATCCTTCTTTTTCTTCTTCTTCTTGCTACCCCCTTCCTGATCAGAATTCTGTAATGTTAAGCAAATTGTTTTGTGAGTGTTCGCTTTGCTCTATTTATGGAAAGGCGGCATATAAATGTTTTAAATAATGTGAATTTGAACATACACCACAAAGCAATACACTCCTAGACAACTCCCTGACAATGATCACTTGCCTATATACTGGCAAAAATACAAGCTTTCGCGTTTGAAATTAAAGCAGTAGGAATCCAGTAATAAAAGTAATGGTCAGTCTAGCTTGGTAGAGATTCACAGCTGCATTAGACCCAGCAAACATTGTTGCGGTCAGCGTAAGAGGATGGTTGATTAAGCCACATGCATGAATCGAGAGGTGGCCATCACAGTTGCACTGGAAGATACATACCCTTACTGGTGATGGACTTGGTGTAGGACTTTTAGCCTTCTTTGCAGGTGCTGGTGGCGACCAGTGAGCAGAAGGCGATCGAGATCGAGCAGGAGATGGAGGCACTGGATGTTTCTTGGGAGGTGGCTCAGGAGATCCTGAAACAGACCTGGATGAAGATCCCCTTCTCACAGAATGTGGACTTGGTGTGGAAATCCTTAGGAAAAGAAAATAAATCAATCTTGATTTCCATGCTAAGAATGATGCAATTCAATTGAATATGCAAATACACAAGTTTAGTTTAAATGTTCTCTAAGTGCAGACTTTATCCTACAACTGAAACTTCAAGACCCCTTTCCATTTTTCCGAGATATATCCTTTCATTGCTTTCCAAATGAAATCTCTTTTTAATGTTTATTACAGCTCTAAAACAATTCATTTGAATTTTAAGGTCACAACCAATTTGTACATTTTTATCTCATGTGGACAGAGGTCCCTTGTGACATCTGTATGGTTTGTAGGATTTTTTTAAAAAAACAAAATACTGAAATGGTACATAAATATATGTACATAATAAATCATGATCTTTCCCAGAGCGATACTCTTAAATCAAAACTATATTGTTTTGACAGCTGAAATTTTTTTCTTATGTTGGTTAAAATTGAATAAAGATTTATTTTTAAAACTATCAATATTTAGTCAAACTTTTATCTGCCCTTTAAATAACCTCCAAGTTTTCATTTCTATTTTTTTAAAAATTCCAGTATATTAAATTTACTCCATTGCTCTAATTATTCATTTTGTTATTTGCTCTTATACCAGAGGTTCTTGGAGTTTCCCATTTTTTTGTCACCAAGGTATGGTCAGAAACCAACATATTCCCATCCATGTTTTAATATTTGACTGGAATCAAGTATGCTACAGTCGACTGTAGGATCCATTAAGAATTTATATTCTTTTAAAGATTTTGTTACAAATAAAAAACCACCGATGGAACAGATTATAGAAACGCACTGTATCCAACAGGAGTCAGTCTGAGAATATCTACTCAAATTAACAAACATGACCAACTTAAGTCCATTAATTTCAATGGGTCTACTCCAGTGTTCTGTCGTGAAATTTCATGTCTAAGTCCTATCAAACAAGTTGGTATTTGGTAGGGAAATTACGCAATACACCTCAGGGTTGGTAATATTCTCAGACATTCCTTAGTGGCCTAGCCGAACTGCTTTTCAAATATCAAAAGCAGCCCTTTGGCTGCCAATGAATTGCTTACTTCTTAGACTTTTTCGGCTCTGGGGTTCTCGAGACTCTTCTGATGGGCCTGGTGCTCGGCGATGGGGAATGCCTTCGCTGGGGAGAAGATGAAGGTCCCCGGCGCAGCAGCGGGGGACTTGCAGAAGGACGGGAAGGCCTAGGCTGTGGTGAAGGAGAATGCCGTTTGTTCTGCAGAGGGGAACGGGCTTCGCGGTTGGACCTGCTGGGCGGAGATCCTTTCCTGTGCTTGGAGGATATTGATGGCGAGCGTCTCTTTGGGGGTGGAGAACTTCTTTGTTTTGGTGGTGGAGAACGGGAGACTCTAAGCTTAGGCTGCGGAGAAGGAGATGCCCTTCGTTTGGGAGGAGGAGAAGCCGTCCTTCTCTTTGGAGGGGGTGAAGGAGAGTATCTTCTTTGTATTGGAGGAGAGTATCTTCTGGGTGTGGGGGAGTGCCGGCGAGGTGGTGGTGATGGAGACCTTAGAAACAAATATGCAAAGTCATTTAAGGGGTACATGAAGGTGTTTCCAAATAATAATAGATAACTGTGTGCACACAGTTTTACTTTGCTATAATTGCCTGTAAATGCCACTGCATAATTAGAAAGCAATACCACCTGCTAGTTACACAATTTTTCTAAATGTTCTATAACATTTTCACTATTTTTTTAAATTTAAATATGCCTATTGAAATAATCTTTGTAAACCACTGTTCCATTCACAAACAGATACCATTGGATGTCATCTCTAACCTTTAATTGTGATCTTATTTATAGGCTGTTTCGGCTGTATTTATTGTTTTAATCTTTTATAAACTTTATTGAATCCATTGGCAAGTTAAAAGTTTAAACTAAAGTAAATATATAAATACATTAAGAAGCATCAATAGTTTCATTGCCAATTTCAAAATAATTAATATTGATGCCGCTATCAAATATTGATGAAAGGCCATTTCTAAGTTAACAGCACACTTTTTATAGAGATGTGTGTTTCATAAGGTAAGTAGCAAGTATTACCTTCGGCGTGGTAATGAAGGTGACCTCCGCCGTCTTGGAGGAGGGGCAGGGGAAGGAGAGCGCCGTCTTCTGGTAGGCAGTGGCGATGGACTGCGCCTCCTCCTACTAAAGGAAGGAGAGAGGGAAGAGGCTCAAGACAGATCCTAGAGAAAGAAGCATACGCACAATAGCCTATGTACAAAGTAGCTTACTGCTGGCCAAGGCAACATCACCCTGCCCTTCAGCTATAATCCCTTTAACAATTGTTGCCACTCAACCATCGGGCTCTTATTAGTCATATTAGTGGTAGTCAGCAAGCACAGAAGACAGGGCTTAAACAAAGCCACATGCCTAGCCTCCTGGGATCACCAGGCAAGTTTTTTTAAAAAAAGAGGATCAACTAACAACTAGCATAGCCATTTTTGAGCAGACAGGCTAGCAAATTTGTGTGTCTTTGGGGACACACTTTCAATGCTGCTGTAAGGTGACATAGACAGTATGTTCTGCTACTCTCAGACCCTCTTTCCTCCAACTATGATTCATTTAATTTACAATATAATCCTGTTGTGTTGCTCACGTGTGTGTGTATGAAAAGCAACAACGCTGACTGATCCACCACATGCTAGTATGCCAACACCAATGCAATTCCCTCAAGGAGCAAAACTGCACTGGCAAAACAGTGACAGACCTTCAACTTAAATGATTCCCTTCCAGGGACAGATATCACAGGTACAGAAGCAACGAGAAGCCTGTTTAGGTGACAACTGAAGTGCATTTAAGCAGGCTTGTCCAAGATTTTAGCTCAGCTCAGTTTCAATATGCATATAAATTTAATGTTATATTGGCCTGCAGCACTTTCCCTTCAAAGGCATATGGTGGAAGTGATAGAGAATTCACTTGCAAGTCACTTGTGCCACTTTTTTTCCTCCACAAACTAGGATCCTCTGATCACCACAAAGGTACATAGTTGGCAACATCCCAAAGTACCCACGTTTCATGGGAAAAAAATTACATAGCTTTCTAAGAGACTTGGGGTGTCTGTAATATTAGAGCAAAGTGAAGCAAAACAAAAAATAAAATAAAATTGTACAAAAATAATCCTCAAATACAAGTACACAATGTTGTGATGAATTGGGGTTTCTTTTGTAACTAGAAGTTTATAACAATGCAGAAGCTGATGTAATCAAAACAGAAACAATCCACTTTCAGTTTTACAGTCTATCCTAAACAAATACTAAAAAAAAAACCCTGAATGCAACCTTTTTAATAACATCATACACTGCTGCTTTCCGCGATGCAGTAAACTCTTTTTAAAAAAAATTAAATAAACTCTATTTTAACTACTTCTGAATATCTATTTGGGAAACACCAAATGTGCATTGCTAGACTGTCATCTTGTTTTATTATCCCATTTTTGTAACTTTATTCTATTTTTCATTTCCTTCATAGCTGAATTTGCGGCAGAGGTGATCAAAGCAGACTTAGGAAAGACTAAGGTGCACCCGGCTCCCTCCTCCACCACCACCTCCCACAGGCTTAGCATCCCCCCACTTTGTTTTCTACATGGTGGGCCTATGTTAAATATACAATAAGTACTGCCTGCAATATGTTACAGTGCTGCTTTGAATTGTTTTTATTTGATTAATGGAAGCCACACTGGGCTCCTTTCTGGAACAGTGTGTTATAAATTTGAAGTTAATAATAATAATAATAATAGTAGTAGTAGTAGTAGTAGTAGTAGTAGTAGTAAATACAACCTTTCTAGAAAGCCCTTCAAGATTTAATCCTAATTAGCAGATCAACCTGCTAACTGACCTTTTAACAATTGGCAACTGCCACCTCTTTCCCATCTGCATCCTGACAGCAGTGGAGGGGAGGGAAAAAAATTGAGAAGTCAAACATCCCCCAGAGTTACTTGCTAGGATGAATTAGCAATTCTTAGCCCCAAGAAGCTCCCATTAAGAATCCTAATGATAAAAATCAGCCAAGTCATTAAAGTAAGTGAAACAACAGAAACAACATCGCTAACATGAAACATTAACATATTCATGTTCTGAGTTTGGGATAGGTGCTAAATTTAGTTCTGACTGCAGAAAATGCAAAAGCAAAACAAGCTCCAAATGATATAATAAGGTGCTCAGAAAACAATGGCACATAGACTGCTAGAAGTAAACGCCAGTATAAAACAAATGAAGTTACCGAGGGGAAGAATCTTTCTGCCACTTTCGTGGAGATGGAGAAGGGCTACGGGAATGCGAGTGTCGCCGGCGTCTACCCACTTCACCATTCTTTACGTTTGACTTTTTTGGCCGTTCTTCTTCAGATGATGACGATGAACCAGAATCTGTAAGAAAATGAAAGACTCTTGTTTCTAAAATGCAACACAATAATGACTTTAGAATTAATGATATTATTTTTAAATGACTCTATATAAAGCAGCTAAATTCCGCTAATTTTTCTTTCACAACTTTTTCAATAGCCAGTTTAAAAGGAAATCAAACTCTGTGAATAAACCCTTTAAGAATAAAAAAATCAAAATGCAGCAAACTTCTGTAGAATAATTATTAGCAGCTTTACAAATCAATTTGTGCAATTATGTATCTGTGGCTGATTAAAGAGTTTGAAAAAAACAATCTTATGGATTCTGTTTTCAAACATCCTCTCCGCATGGATTCCCAACTCCACTCACATGGCTGTCCTTCTAAAACTGGCATGTTAAGAGATATTAGGAACCAGAAGTAATCTAAGCTATAAGTATTATATGCTAGCAGGCTTCTCTAAGTTTCCATTCAGTTCACACATAAAGCCTACTTTTATAAGCAACCAGGTGCTATTAGCTCCCAAGGGCAGTGAGCCAACAGTTTTTAAGGATGTGAAAGGAAAAGATTAAATTATTTCAATATAATTTCAATATAGGGCCATACCCATGAGCAATGCAAGCAGAGAGGGAAACACTGTCATCTGGTTAAGATGTAACAATCTCATTCTAACCAACCATGGCTTATTGGTTCTAAAATGAGCACTGAAGCAATGCACTCCCTTTGTGCTTCAAATGAAAGCCTTCAGCTGAACTGGGAAACCCAGTTATATGCTGTGTGAGAGGAGGTAGGGGGGAGCATATGTCCACAGCGCTCAAACTAATAAATCAGTGTATTACTATGATATTGCTGCATCTGCCTATAGCTGATACATTAGCCCAAAATACACTTTTCAAATGCCTACTGAAAGATCTCCAAGGAAACAAAAAAATGCCCTACTAATACTCAACTCGTCACAGAATGGGATAAGGCACTCTTGAGCCATTAAAGGCAAACATCAAATACCTTACACCAGCTCCAACAAACCACCTACAACTCTCTAGGAAAGTGCACCTCATATTTTTTAAGAACCAATGATTTAAGAAATAATAAGCCTGAGGTACAGGAGTGTGGGCGCCTGTGGCCCTCCAGAGGTTGCTGGAAATCTGAGTGCCGTAATACCGTATTTACTTGAATCTAATGCTCACCTTTTCTGGCCAAATTACATTGCAAAAATTAAGGTGCACATTAGATTCAATGGCACATTTACAAGCAAATACTTTTGTTGGTTTCAATGTTCTGAAAATTGAGGTGTGCATTAAATTGAGGTGTGAGTAAATGTGGTATCTGGAGGGCCACAGGTACACTACCGCTGCAGTCCTACATCTGTGAATTTTGTGTACTCACCTATCTTCCCCACAGATGCCACTCTCTGTTCTAGCACGGGCCTTTTCTCAGCAATAGAAAATTGCACCTCACCCCTACCCCTAAAAACTGCAATGTTTTACAGAGCAAAAGTTTATAGGGTTAAAATCCAGCCTCTTAAATAGAGTCTATGAAGGCTACCACTAATTTCAAATTGCATGAGCTGGTAACAAATATTAAAGGGCTGGGGGATGGTCAGCCTGCAGGCTGAATTTGGCCAGCTAGCCTCTCTTTTGAGGAAGCCATGGCCAACCACACAGCACCTGACATTATATATGACATCAGGTGTGCAGCAGGTAAGGGTGGGGCTTCAAAGGGTCAATTAGGATTTCAAAGTGAGCTTCCAGTTTTTCCTTTCCATCAGCAGTTGGGAGGGTGGTAGTGTGCCTTGCTCAGAGAGGGGAAAGCAGTTTCCCTCCCAGCACTACTCTTTGAAGCTCCAGACACCAGAGGCTCGGAGCAGTTTGGGGCTGTCTGAAAGCCCTTCTCCAGCTGTTTGGAATCTTTGAAGTCCTGACAATTGGGGCTTTAAAGCACAGCACCACCTGTTGTTACTATGGCATCAGGTGATTGACAGGTAGGCAGCCCCACCTATCAAACTGGGCATGCCACAAGTGGGGAGATAAAGTTCTGGCCCACTGATCAGAAAAGGTTCCCCACCCCTGAAATACTGGATAGAACCAGAACAGTCCACATAAAGAAATCCAAGTGACTTAGCCAAATTATAGGTTTGCAATAGAAGCCATTTATAACAACTCATATAAGGACATTATTTTTTTTGTACACTTACTTGGGAAGAGGCCCCAATAAACAAGAGGGAGCTTATTTCCAAGTATACATTACAAGGATTCAGTCTGCAAAACTATAAAATACCGTACCAGATGAAGACTGCTGGTTCTGCCTTCTATACTGCCGTCTTTGTTGAACAGAATCTGCAGCTGCCATTTTACCACCTTTGTCTTCTTCTGAAAAGTGTGCAAATTAAAAGAAAAACACATTGAAATATTATATTTACAAGTGTGTTTCATAGGAAGTGTTTTTATACTATGTCAGACCATTGGTCCATCAGAACTGTCTACCCTGACCGGCAGTGGCTCTCCAGTATCTCCCTACCTAGGGATGCCAGCAACTGAAGCTGGGACTTTGCTCATGCAAGGCAGGTGCTCTACCACAGAGCTATAGCTCTCCCTCTGTTAACAGTAACAATATGGAATACATTTCATATTCACAGAGCTCAATCTCAGGGCTCTTTCTTAAGACATGGTTCTTTTACAGTGCTTTGGATGTCAAGAGAGTCTAGAGATGATTATGTTTGAACTGCTGTTGCTTTTTCACTCTTTTGGTTATTTTTGCTACATTTTATAGTGTTCTTAAATGGTTAGCCTTTTTTTAATGAGGCATCTTCACATAAAACGGTACACACGGGCACCTAATGCACCAAAGTCACACAAACCACTCCCAATATCACAGAATCTCAAAATAACTCCGTATTAAAAATGTAAAGACATAAATTGAGGAACTCACCCGATTCTGACAATTCTACTTTTCTAGGTTTCGGTGCTGGTGAGGGAGATTCCCTTTTTTCAATACTTTTACGTTTGGGTGCTGAAAAGAAACAAATAAACAGAATTCTGAGGAAGAGCCAGGAAAATATTGGGTATATATATAGTAACTTATACAGTAGTGTTAATTGCCCTAGGAGCCTTCACAAAGCATATGTGATTCACGCCCGCCCCCCCAAACACCATTCTGGTGCAGATCCAGATTCAACTCTAGGAAAGTCACTATCTTTCAGCCTAAACTACCGTATAGGAGTTGCTGGAAGGATGAAATGAGATAAAACTGCGAACAGTCCCAAGTCCCTAGGACAGGGCAGGTAAGACACTTAAATTTAAAAACAAGCCCCAAAACTTGTCAGATAAATCTTCGTTAGTGCTCCCTGTAAACAGAATCAGAGAGAGGGGGAGTGTATAAAATGCTCCAACCACATCCACTGTGCTGTAATTTGAAATCAGAACTTACATCTGAGGCCACCACCATTATAGACTAATCTACGATTGTATTTTAAAAAATCTTCTAATGGTGGCATTTTTAAACATAAGTGTTGCATAGTACAAGCAAATGAACTGCTACTTAGCCTTTGAAACAGTTACTAAACACTGCCAGCCTGCCACCAACGCTTCCACTGAACTCAATTCTCCAAAAGAAGCAACTGAGGTTGATCCCTGTGCTCAACCCACTCATGCAGGTAGCTGCCCAAGCAAAGGACATATTCCACAGAAGTGGTTTTTCCCCTTCTATCTAGGAGCACCAAAGTGATGTCATGTGAAATAATGCTATTGGCTGCTACTGGTGTGCATGTCAAGTAGTCCTTACAGCAACAAAACCTAAATGTACTTGTCTAGCATGGTATCTACTCCAGCTCTTTTTTGAGCTACATGTGTGGCAATTGTATTGTGCTTAACGTACAGGTGTACCTGGCCAGCAATACATGAAGTTACTGCCTGCCTTTTCTGGCCGTCTAGCCTAGGGGACTGGTTTTGAGCTGGAGAAAACACAGATGCCCCCCTAACATTTTAGTATTTATTATCTCTCTGTCTCTCTCCACAACCTTTCCACTTTAGACAGGCAGGCGTCTAAGACACTCCACTCATTAGCTACTAAAGAGCTATACAAAGCCCCATACACACAATTAGAGCGGCTTGTAAAAAAATAAATTTACTTCTCTGTACCTGAGGTTCTACTGGGAGAAACTGAGCCTCGGCCTTTTCTTGCACGGTTCGATTGCTGAGGTGTTGGAGAGCGGCGGGGCTTTGGGGGTGGGGTTAGGGGTGGGGAGGGGCGGTGCCTTCGCCTAGGAGGACTTGCTGAAGGTGACAGTCTACGTGTCTTACGAGGAGGGCTGGAGACAACTCTCTTAGGTGGTTTCTTTGGTGGAGATCGGGAACGTGAAGAGGAGGAGGAGGAACTACTTCCTGACAAAGATGCTGACGATCGTCTCCTCCTGTAAAATTCAAGTTGACATCAAGTATTCTCTGACTAATCATAATAAGACACTGTAACCAATCTGCATTGTCCTGGTTTCTCAAAGATCTTACTAGCTTCTACTACAATATTTCCACAAACAGTTGAATAGCACTTTCAATTTAACACATCCAGCAGACCTAACTTAGTAGTTAGTGATGGAAAAGGTTTCAAATGGTTTAGGAGTTGGATGGTCTAGAAGCATTCTTTTTAAAGGACTGAATTTAATGGACTCTTTCATTTAAGAAACTTGTCTCAAAAAAGCCCAATGCAAGGGAATTAAAAAAATTTCTTTCATGTTTGGAAAAACCATCAGTATTGAGAGTTAAATCAGCCAGGTTTCTTTCAGATTACACTTTAAAGAAGGGCCTCTAGAATTCTGCAGCACAATTTGTGGTCAGTTCTGTTGCTATCATGTACCTGCTGACTCCACCTTTGGCTGCAGAATTCCTGAGAACCTGAAAAAAAAGAAACCCTACCCTGAGCAATTTAGTCTTTGGAAGTGATATCACAAAGCTAAACAACTATGCTTGTGTTAAATTTTCAAAAGTTTTTCTAAAGTCCAAGTGCTCAACTATCCAGTCACAAAATTTGCAAAGCAATATTCAAATGTCAGTTTGTCTGTGCACATAACTTTTTGCAACATAATGACATCCTATGAAAAGAATAGCAATGAAGTGAGTGTATGTTAATTCTTTAGGAGCAATGCTTTCAAACGGTATTCTGTAGGAAACAGGGGCTCTTCCCAAAAAGGCATTTGGGATGCTACTACACAACTTCCCTGGAATGTACATTGTCAGGTGTACCTGCTATTCATGCAGTGGTGACAGGGTCCAACAGGTCTCGTCAGTGCCCAACATAAATTATGTGCCCTAAAACATGTCCCAGAATCCTCTGCAAATGCACAGAATTCCATGAAAGAAAAACGGTGGACAAGTTACTGTGAAACAAGCTCCCCCATGTTTTAGGATGTTTAAGTACAGTCTGTGGAAAGCAAATGCTTCTTAGGAGGGTCAACCTTATCAAGAAATGGTATAAAAGTAAATATATCTGTCCTATTTGAATCCTAAAACATTTTACTTTTGCAACTGACAACCCCTACACTGACTCTTTGAAAGTACAGTCTCAAAAATAATTCAGAAACAAATACACTTTCTAAGAGACCCCGGCCTGGTGGAACACTCTCTCACAACAGACCAGGGCGCTGTGGGATTTGACATCTTTCCGCAGGGCCTGCAAGACGGAGCTGTTCCGCCAGACCTTTAGTCAGGGTTCAGTCTGATTCTTCTTTCTGTATAAGAACAAGCATTAAAGAGGCCTCCTAGCCCGCTCACAGGTCCTTTATAAGACCAGTGGTAACAGTTGGCCCGGGAGAATATTAACCACTCTCAATTTTATCCGTGGACGGCCATCTGTCCAGATTTTAATTTGCTCTGAACTAATTTTAAGATGTATTTTAATTAATTGGTTGCCTGTTTTTATGTTCTTTGTACACTGTGTTAGTTTGGTGATGTTAGCTGCCCTGAGTCCGGCTCCTGCCAGGGTACAAATAAAAAATTATTATTATTATTATTATCATCATCATCATCGTGTCAACCTATGCTGAGCACTGGATATATTATTTAAAAAGACAGGCCATGGAGAATTGTAGAAATGACAGCGTTCAGTTTCCCTTGATGCAACTTTCATGGTATTTTATTTTATTTATTTATCTCTTCCTACTGAGGAAGTCAGGATGTAGATAAAACAGTCTCTTATTTTTATTTAAGTCTCTTATTTCTCTGTATATCTTTCGTCCTGAACACCAAGAGGAAAGTATTTCATGACCAGTTTCAGACCAAATAGGAGACTGTTTCTGACTCTCATCTCCTTAGATTGAAGGGGGGGGGGAATGAACTGAAGCAACTAAAACATTACTATTGATACATCCCTTAAATACAGGTGACTCTTGCTTCTAAATTAGAGACTCTTACCGTCTCACAGGAGATCTACTCCTTCTGTGTCTGGGTGGAGGTGGAATGCGTCTTGGCGGGGTTCTTCTCCGAGGAGATGGGCGTCGTCTTGGGCTAGGCCGCCTTCTTGGTGAGTAAGACCTATCAATTCATGAAAATTCAGATACTAAATTTATTGATTTACAAGGCCAAAGCTTTGCCAACTCTCCAACTGAAGGGAGTTCCTTATCAGTGGAGCCACACTCACTTAGTATATTGCTGCTATAAAACTTGGAGCAGGACTGACCTTCTGTTTTGTCTCAGTGTAACAGGAAGATTGCAAACACCTGTGTAATTACACTGCCATTTACCCCTCTGGAAGCAGCACCCCTGCTGCTTTGTTGCTGCAGGAAAGCTGACAACAGATACCTGAATGCTCAATGGTGAGAAAGGGTCCTTCCTCAAAGCTAAGCATTCTACTGAGATGGTCATGGAGAATGCCTGTGCCACTGCAGTACTGATGCAACAATATATAACAGTTTATTATTCCTAAAGTTAAAGTAGTATTTGGTGCAGTAAAGGAGCAGGAGCTCTTCACATCTATGTCAGTCAAAATGTCTTTCTCTGGAAGCACCCAGCATGCCCTGGAAAGTCTCAGTACACAGGCCACAGAAGACCAATCAAGAGCTGAAGGAGACCAGTGTGTGTAAGCAGCAAAGCAATTGCTCTCTATGTCCTGTACTAGCCCTGCATGGATAACTATTAAGTCCTAATTCATATTTACAAGAGTGGGGGCTGTTTTGACATGGTGTGATCACAGGCTGTTCCCATGACCACACACATGAAGAAACAACATGGAATGGTCCAAACTCTAAGAAATGATAAGAGGACAATGAGGAGGAGGAATGCTTTACCATTTTTTCATCCGAACTGGATGAGGTAGATGTGACTTAAAAAGAACACATATGCTGCCCAGCAGGGCAAAAACACCTTCCAACCCTCTAACCTGGATCGTGATCTATGACGCCTTCTTGGTCTTGAATGAGATGCAGACCGTGAGCGAGACTTTGACCTTGACTTGGATCGAGAAGGAGTCCTTTGACGATTCTTTTCCTTTTCCTTCTCCCTTTCCTTCTTTGAAATTCTTTCTGGAGATGGCTCCTTGGTATCTGGCACAGGCTCAATTTTGGGGACTTTCAAAATATCACTGTTGAAATACATTTTGAAGATTAAACCAGAGATTACAATTGGAGGGGGGGGGGGATTTTAGATAATTTAAGGGTGCAATCTGCAACACTTAACAGACACATGGCAGGTAATTCTAGAAGACACCCTTTCTGTTAGCTAAGAATTCTGAACCAAAACAGTATGTCCAGTGTTCTATGAAGAAGAGATTTGTTTAAGGCACTTGCACGCCAAAAGCATCAACTCCCGATTGGTAGATAATGCCTCAGACAAAGCTCCTGGCACCTTCCATTCCCATGTTCAATCTTACATTTTCACATTTCTGTAGTATTGTTAGGTTATGTCCAACATGTATTCAAAAGTAATGAAAGAAAGCCAGAATGATGAACAAATAACTAAATAAAATTGGTGTAGAATTACAGCTTTCTGAATTATATTCACTACTCCACATGACATCGAATATCACGTTTCAGAGTAATATGAGAACAAAACTAGAAAGGAAAACTTCTCAACAAGTAGATATACCTAGTAGATGTGGCCTCCTGAATCAATGTTTCTTTTATTTTGATTGAAGGTTCTGGCTCAGGAGTCTCTTCTTTCTTTTCTGGTGCAGGAGTAACACTACGACTCTTTGTTTTATGGTGTGGGGATCGGGAATGGCTGTGTTTTCTCTCTTTCCTGATAGGGGATGAGCGTCTTCTAGGGGAAGGAGACCTTGATTTGCGCCTAGGACAAAGTCAATTTATATTCAAGTTTCTTGTGGAATTTGAAAAATATATTAATATCCAATCCAATTATCCTTCTCACTCTTGCTACCTGCTTATAATTTAACTTTGCTGTCTGAAACAGCATTTATATACTGTCACTTTCATTTCAAGTAATAAACCCATCTTTTTTTTTATTCTTCTTGCGTGTGAGCTTCTGGTGAGCGCAAGGTTGAGGGTAAACGTTTATTAGTAACAAATGCACACATTACAGCTCTAGCAAAAAGATCCTGAAGATCTCAGCTTAATATTGGGAGTTTGCATAGATGATACATGGGCCATGGACACAAATGTAGGTTCAAATGTACACCTTGTAGCACTGTTAACTGGGAAAAATAAAATGCTTTAGCCAGAGCATTTAGACTTCAAATACTAAAAGATTCCCAAGAAAATTTAACTAATAGAGCTGCTCTACCACAGCTTCAACACATGCAAGAGTCATTTGGAAAATAACAACACACACACATTTAAGTAATACCTTCTAGGACTTCGGGATCTGTCCCTCTTTTCTCTATTTTCTTTATCTTCCTTGTCTCTCTTATCCTTGTCTTCATCTTGTTTCTTCATGGAAGCCAATTTTTCCTGTTCAATCTGAAATAAACATTAATGTGCCCTTAATTCAGAAGCATGGGCTGAGAAGAAAATGTTGAATCCACTGAAAGAATAAATATTAACACCATACACATCGATATAGTGTGTTCTTTATATAGTGTGTTCTGAATGCTTCAAATGCATTATCTTGTCTTTACAACCACCCAATAAGGTAACCAAATATTTTCCTCAAAATGCAGAAGCAAGTGGCTTGTCTAAAGTCATCTGGTGAGGTCAAAGCAAAAACAAACAAACAAACAAACAAACAAACAAACAAAAAACTGGTCTGGAGACTTGTGAATTCATTGTTCTATGAATAAGCCGCTATGCTACTTTAGCTCAGGTACATTTACATCAAGAATAACACAGAGCTGAACAAATGCATTCAAACCAGGAGGCTCAAAGAGGAAAACCACTAAGACAAATTACACAATGACATGAACATTAGCAGAGAGTGAAGCGTCTCTGCCACTCAGTAGATTACTAGAAGCCATAGTTAAAACTGGCTGGTTAGGCATGGTAAGTGGATAGGTGCTAACTTTGAAACCCCACGTCAACCATAAAATCTCATAATGCTAAACTGAATTACTATATCAAATATCAAAATCATTTGTATAAGCCCAACTTCTGGTGTACTTTATTTCTAGAGTCACCTGATAATTAATATGCTGCTACTATGATGTAAAACATTTAAAGCACTAACAGGATAGAATAGACTGCACACACTTTGTTCTGTGTTTGGGGAAAACAGCTGACAATGGTAGGACAGTGGAAGGACAAATTATTTACAATCAAGATCAGACACTGTAAAACGCTGATTTATTATTCCAAACACTTGGGGTAGCAGAACTTGAGCTTTTAATGCCTTCAGAAAACTGAAGATAGATATAATGTGATGAGCCATGCCACACTATGAACCTGAGAAGGGTGTTTGCCATTGTTGCTCTTTCTAAATAGTTAAATACTATGCAATTCTGGGAGCTAAAAAATAAGTGCCTTGAGTGCAGAAACTCAAAAAGGAGTCATTCTTCAGAGTAGAAGTGAGCACGACACCAAGTCCACAACTTTCACCGGGGTTATGTTCTGGGCATCACACCTAAATCCAAAGTCATGTCTAGTCAAAACACAATGGGTTCAATGATTCAAGTACATTTTTCCCAGAACCCCGCCCCATTTTTATTATTATTTGCCATGCACATAAAGCTGACTGCACACAAGTTAAATGTGCATAGGTTGTGGGCTTACTGTACACAGCAGATGATTTGACCACCTTTTTGCCGGGAACACCAATTATGTGTACAAATCAATACCATGTTCACATTTCCACATGTGATCTTTCGTACTCACATCTTTAATAAAACAAACACTCACAAGAACTCATCTTTCTGTAAAAGGAAATAACTGTTCACCATGTAACAGAGTTGGTGAACTGAACAGTTTTAAACTTGTACTGATTATTGTATTAATATTACACTTAGGCTGCAATTCTAACCCAGCTTACCTGGGAGTAAGCCCAACTAAATTCAAAAGAACTTACTTATGAGTAGTTATCGTTAGGGCTCTCACTCTTAATATCTAGAGTTAACACAGTTTCTGTTCAATTCCTGTTTTTGTTCAAGCCCTGCTTTTGATTTAGAAAATTCTCAATTTACGTAAGATGCTCTGTGGTTTGTCCAGAGACATTTTACAAGTTCATATTTGAATAGGGATTTGAACCCATCAACTAGCATTGCTGAAATTTACCTGTCTCTGTTTTATTTCTTCTTTCTTCAGCTCCAGGAAAGCAGATGGAATACCAGCAATGTTTTCTTGTGCACTTAACAGTAGTGGCCACAGTTCTCCCATGAACTCTCTAGCATTTTTCCCATTCAAGAACCCTGTCAGGTTGATTTGCATCATTTTGGAATCTGGATTCTGCAAAGAGATGTGACAGGAAGAAATACAGGTTATTTGAAAAAACCAAACTCAGATAAGTCATTTTAATTTTCACAATCTTCTACCATGGGGCTACAGTATATTAAACTCATTACTAGTTTTTAAAACTTGCCCTAAAAGTTGCTCAGTAACATAGCCCTAACAGTTTACCAATTTTCTCTCGTCATACCATTTACATTCAAAATGGCCTGTTAATCCTTTGTAGATTTCATACGCATTTTGGTCTCTGCAGCCGCTACAGCTGTGGGGCATGAATTTAGTATAGCAGCATCATAATAGTTAATATAAGTTTCTTTGTAGTTAACTTTCTAAACATCCTTCCCCAATAGACTTTGGTACTGCTGCTTGAAAATCTTTTGTTTTGGTTTGGTTTTGTTTACCGTGATCCGTACAATGGACAGAAGCTGTATATTTATTTAACATTACAGAATCATCATCTACAATAACCCTGCTGTGTCCTGCTGTGAAAACTGAACAAAAGTTTATGCATGCATTCTCTTACTTTCATCAGCAAACTATACTAAGCCTTCACTGACACGTTTATGGAATGAAAGCTGCCATATCTGGTTTTTATGACATTTATGCAATGCCCACAAAGGATTAAGAGGTCAAGTTTGGCTCACAGTATAAGTGGGCACTTTATTTCTAACATTGTTGGTCAAAGCAACAAGGTCCATATAACAAGCACAGCTCAACAGCACAAAGCAAGTACAGATTCCAGGTGTCTTCAGTTTCTTCTTGGAACTTTGGGGGGTTTGGAATCGCCAAGTCCCCTGTAGAGAAAGATGTTCCCTTGGCTTGCTTCCGACTCCCTACTGCAACTCAACCACCTTGAGTTTAATGTTATATCATTTATCTAAATTGCAAAAGACGAACAAGCAATAATGAGTACACAACCACAAAAAGGAAAAAAATTGTTTTCTTTTTTAATTCTACAGTTTAAATCATGCTTTGTACAAAGGGGAACTAAAACTGAATATCTAGGTTTTATTACACTAATACATGTTAGCAAGCTACTTCCCATTATACATTCTTACTTTATTTAGCTGATCCCTTAAATTTTCCTCCCCAGTTACGATTTCTATGCAAGTACATAAACGATTCCAAATATGGCTGTTTTAACAAATAAAATCTTACATTCAAAATACACCATGACCTTTTTTTAAAACAGCAATACCTTTCTCAGTTGAAATGTCAACTGTTCAGTCAAATCATAAAGATGAATTCTTTGGAAGAAAGATTGAGCATAATGTATATTAGCACAGGAGCATTTCTGCCATTAGTTCAGAGAAAATACTGTACTGACTCTTGGGATGCAGTGGCAGATTGTTTAAGATAAAAGACTGAGTTTATCATGAACTCAGTTTCATTTTTGAAGTTCATGTTACAGTGGTACCTCGCAAGACGAAAAACGCGCAAGATGAAAGAGTTTTCCGTTTTTTGAGTCGTTCCGCAAGACGAATTTCCCTATGGGCTTGCTTCGCAAGACAAAACGTCTTGCGAGTTTGTTTCCTTTTTCTTAAAGTTGTTAAGCCGCTAATAGCCGTGCTTCGCAAGACGAAAAAACCGCAAGACGAAGAGACTCGCGGAACGGATTAAGTTCGTCTTGCGAGGCACCACTGTACACAACTGGTAACTGTTTAGCTGTATTCCAGTGGTGCAATTCAGTTCCATTAACTTAAGATGGGTGTCTTGCCACTAATTTCAGTGGAAGGTGGCTTACACTTATAAGGTTTTGTCTTTAGCAACCTGAAGCATATTTTTACTGTAATTAATATATCACCCCTCCATCCCTACTGAACACAGCCATAGTTCTATACAGAGTAGGTCTCCACTGAACGCCTCTTACCAATTTAGAACTGCACCTTATGCTTTACATTTAATCTGATCTAATTCACAACAATTTCAAGAGCAGTGTAAAGCTTTGCCCAATGGCTTTCTGCTGGATGCTTTGTCAGTCTTTGGTTCGGCCACTTTACACAACTCACCTCCAAACACACACTGCATCATCAAGGGAGTTGGTCAGAGCGACATTGGACACTCACTCTGCTGTGACCTAATAAGGTGATGGTGCTATACTTCAGACGCAAGGAATAACTTCCATTTTGGTTCAGGCCTTTTAAATCATAAATCACATCATCATTAGAAAATTGCTGTCAAAGTAGCTTAACACGTAACAGCAAAATCAACACAGTAAGTCTGATTTTTCACCTGAGTAGTTTTGCAAACTATGCACCTTCACTAAAACTGTCAACCTTAACAAAATGTTTTACAAGTTGAATTTATTCACAATATACATTGTAACAAAACCCCTCCTAATTCCATCAACTGTTTTTGATAGAAAAAATTCAGTTTTGGCAGAATAATAATGCAATACATTTACAAATGTGTAAATACAACCACAGCAAAATCATTACCTTCACTTCCAACTGGTTGAATATAAATTCAATTACTACATCATCTTCAAATCCAAGGATTTCCGTTACTCTTTTTGTTATCCATGGCTTGATTACTTCCAGGTTTACTTTGCTCATGTCCACCTACATTGATCAACCAAAAACATGAATTATATTTAATGCTAACATTTCTTTTGTTCAGTCACTTAAGACTTCTGGTCTCCAACTAGCAGTCAAATACCACAAGTTTTTCATGCCATAGCAATGCACACAAGCACAGCAAGCAATAGCAGTGCTTGCACACATTAGTTTTCTAGTTTATCAGTAGAAGGTATTAGCTTGATACTTCATTGAAACAGCATTCTCTATCACTTTAAAGTATCACTGAAGCACCACCATATGGTCAACCATATGCCTGAATTCAAGCTGCTGATGCAAAGGAAGAATCAGGAGTGCACTTAAAGAGTGTGTTCCTGATGCTTCTTCATTTTAGTTTTGCCGTGACATTTCTTGTGCCTCGTGCCACTTAGAACATCAGGTGTGGGACAAGTGGACACGGACTGCCCAAAACGGCTTGGGCCCACTAGTGATCTAACAAAGCTAGTGGCAGCCCCCGTTTTCCTGAGAAACCATGATTTAAAGACTGCAGTTGAAATGGTTTATTCAACAGCGAATTTGTCTTTGGACTCCAGGCATGAAACTATTCAGAGTTCTTTGCAATGGGGTGGAAGCCTTGACTGAAAAATGACACAACTTCGTGTTTGTATCCCAACATAAATTCTCCATTAGCTTTAAAAACTTATTCTATTTAAAGTGCAAGACAACAAGTTATTCTTAATGCTCTATTAGCTTTAGCTCAGTTAGTTAAATTCAAAAAGCATCTTCTGTATTTATTAAGGTTGTTTTTTTTTTGAATTCCATATCACTCTCCAAATACAACAAACTGAACATACTTTCTTTTCTAGACATTCTGCAAATTTCAGTTGCTTTAGTAGCTTCTTCTGTTTGTTGCTGAAGCGGTTGTCCTGTTCTGCGCTAGTTCCCTGCAAGAATAAAACAACTGAGTAAATTTTAAATACAGTTAACTAATTTAATAAAATACAGTTAACTAATTAAAGATATTTCTCGATGCTAACTTATTGAGGGCCACAGGTTTCTCATCTTTGCTGTAAGATTTATTACCATCCACGACTCAATTCTCAACAGAAGAATGGCATTAAACCTTAAAATGCTCCAACAATTCTACAATCTCCACATGCAATCCTACATGCCACAAACTTTAGAAAACTGTATAGCTGCCAAGCAATCTCTCAAATAATTTCCAGCCAACATTAGAAAGCAACTTAAAAATATTTCACATCACTAGCTTTTAAAATATCTTAAGACTATAAATAGGATTTGACAGGTGAGCTATCAAGTAATGGGGATTCAAGCTTCATATGAATTACTCAGAAGGTTAACATCATTCAATGCTGATATTTTATATATAGAAAATGGAAGCAGCAGCAGGAGATGGGAGAGTTTGCCACATTCCTAATAAAAGAGAAACCTGTTAATGGACTAATTCAGAAACCTGTTAATGGACCAATTCACTATGACAGAAAGCTGACCAAAAAGAGAAATCCCATTATCACTGGGCCTTATCTTTCTTGCACCATATGTTCTGACAGTAGCCATGTCCTATTGGGATCACATACACCCTTTAAAGTGTACAAAGATACAGGGGGAAATCCAGTATTATTCTTAGTTTTAGTACATGTCCACTGGTTTCAATGGGTCTCTTCACTCATGGTTCGTTTCAAAATGCCTTGTTAAACATTAGAAAATAGATTTTACTGTTACCACATTCTTAAAAAAGAATTGGCACTGGGTACTTTTCCATTCATTATAATAGGATCCCTTAGTAAGTAAAATGCAATAAAAAAAAAACAACCTGAAGGGGATGAGGAAAGAGATGAAAAACCACAATACAACTGACCACATGCTAACAAGTATGTACATGGAGTATGAAGCGGTTCAGCCTTTACAAATATTTCCAATAACTGCTATGATTTACAGCAACCCCAATGGTTTGGTGGGTGGGAGGGTTAAAAACTGAGTTTTGTATCCAATGTTAGGTCATACTCAGAACCATTTAAATTAATGGAAATCTTAGGTCAGTTAATTTCAATGAATCTACACTCAGCAAAACTTAGCTGGTTACAAACCACAGTCCAATTATTTTGCAGACCACAGAAGCTAACAATATTTGCATGCATGCCTTTAAAAGCTATATGCAGAACAGGTAACTGTTGAAAAACTCTAATTCAGAGAGTAGATGTTTTATTACAATGTGGTTAGATAACATAAAAGCTGGCTGCTTATTATTCCCTCTCTTGGAACAGAGCCACTACTATTACCAGGTGCTCTGGTATGTTGCTCTATGATTAGCAAAACGTATCTCAGACTAGGACATAAGGATTAATCGTTCACCAGTGACCATCTAGGTACCATGCAAATATTTTGTGCAATGCTAGGAGGTGTAGCCATCATCAAAAGAGTGCTTCGACCTTCCTTTTAACATTCTGGGCTTGCTTGAATTGCCAAACACAACAGGTCATAACATCCTGTCCAATCAGAATATCAATTACAGCAGGAGAAAAATCCAAGGATAAAAAAAGATACTGGGCACAACACCAAGTAGATATGGTTCCCAAAATTTTAAGGAAGCTCTATATCAAACAAAATATTTAATCTTAATGAAACATGATAGGAAAAGCTTACAGTAGCTGGATTGGTGAGGAAGCTTTTCATTCACAAAATGTGCTCAAAAACATGTCACCTTCTGGGACTTTTTGGAATGTGTTTTCCATTTAAAAAGGAATTTTGTGCCTGCTCAAAGACTTTACAGATACAAGCTGTACTGTTCACATAAGTTATTTTTTAGAACTTAATGGGCACCCCAGCCCTAAGTGTTCCTAAGTTTCTACCACTATCATGCTTTCTTTAGAAAGCAAGAGCTATTTTCCTGATTCCTTGTGATATGATTTCCACTTTTTGTTAACCAAAAGTCTGGAACTCTATGTGTGGAGTTTCTTTTCAAAGGAAAAAGTATTCTAAAAAGCCCAGGATGAAATGTTCCCAAGCATATTCACAATTCCTTTATTTTATGAATGAAATACTCTCTCACTAGTCCAGATACTGTGTAAATATATTTATTTATCTATTTCATAGGAGAGGCTATATTTTATGACTTATTTGTGAGGGAAAAGACTGGATGCAGCTGCAGGGCAATAGTTACCTGGCAACAAGGTCCATGCATATGTGACTCCTGTAGAACTTGAAAGTAACCACTATCAAATGACCCCATGATGCATTAAAAGACCGACTGCCACTTACACAACAAGAACACTGTTATGTAATACTGTATTTGATTATGGCCAAAGAATCAGTGGTCAAGTATCTGGTCAGTATGACAATATTTGATCAGACAACTGACTGACTCCTCAAACCTAGCACCAGAATGCCTTTAACACCTCAAAAAGTAGAACAAAAAATTTTACTAGTAGAGACCAAGATTCCCTCCCCCAACACCATCTAAGGGCCGTGTAAGAATATCACAAAGTCCAAAGAAAGTCAGTGAATAGTGTCGGCCTAGGGACTGGGAATCTGGGGAAAAATTCCAACTCAGCCATAAAATTCACTGGCTGACATCTCTCAGCCTAAGCTGAGCTCACAGGGTTGTTGTCAGGATAAATGAACAGAGCAACACATGCCACCTTGAACTCTGTGAAATAAAGGCAAGATATAAATAAAATAATCATTATGATGATGTAGTATCAGAGCCTCTATAATGTACTGTAGAATGTATACAACAGTACCTTAGGGTCATTTTTTACTCTAGTTTACCAAGCTAGGGAGCAGGCATCAGTGCAGTTTGTCCACAAACTCATGCTGCCTTTACTACAGGTTGGTCACCTAACATTATGTAACAGGACTGCTGTTATACCCTAAGGCTAATGTTTTCAAAAGTTTCTGGGGACTTTTATAAAATTTCTTCATTTTTTGGAAATGTTTATATACTGCTTTTCATCATATCAGATTTCAGGGTAGTGAGCCTTCAGGTGATTGGAATTTTTCTATAATAAGATGAGTCACTACTGATATGTTCCTGAAATTCAACTGCATGGAAGTGGTTTCACATTCAAAGGCTCTACTGCAATCAACCTGATATTGGAAGACTCTCCACAAATCTGAAAACAACTGATTTGGGTGCTTATTACACAAACCTTCCACTGCTCACCAAAAAGACAAACTAAAGCAAAAAAGTTTACCCCACACATTTGTATACTTGTGTTTTGTCTGTTCTCTTGCAACACAGGAATAACAGAAAAGGAACTCATCTGCTGCTGCATAGTGGAATTATCACTTGGATTTTAAGAAATGGACTTGCATTTTGGTCCCGAATCAAGATTAGGGATTTCCTCAGACTAAATATGTTAAAGTAGTGTTTTGTTACTACCAAAGTACCGTGCTTGTGTCTCTTAACTGAGTTCTGCACAGGACATTCACAGATATCCCTTTCACTTCACATAATTTTTGGCCCTATTTCCACCATCCTCATTTAGATGCACGGTATTTCAATAAGCTTGTGAAAATTAGGTATGCAGATGTACATGTGTGTACAAGAAGCATCTACTCCTAGAAGAATTAGCAGAGACTACAGAGCAGGGATTTAGATTCAAGTAGGTAGCCGTGTTGGTCTGACGCAGTCAAAATTTATTAAAAAATTGTCCAGTAGCACCTTAGAGACCAACTAAGTTTGTTCTTGATATAAGCTTTCGTGTGCATGCACACTTCTTCAGATCTGAAGAATGTACACGAAAGCTTATACCAAGAACAAACTTGGTCTCTAAGGTGCTACTGGACATTTTTTTTATGTACTGTATTTCGAGAGCGGGGATGAGGAACTTGTGGCCCTATAAATGTTATCAGACTGTAACTCCCATCAACCTCTGCCAGCATGGTCAATAGCCAAAAACGGTGGGAGCTGGAATCCAGCAACATCTGGAAAGCCGCTTGTTCTGCACCGCTAGTCCAGAGCAAAAAATGTACACATTCGTATCCTGTACTTAAATGTATGCAATGGTTTCCATATCTATCTTAACTCTTCCTATTTATGAGTCTAACAAAACAAGTTCTATCAAGTCCACAAAAATAAAAAGTGCATAAAAAGCCCTCCAAAATCGACCGAACAAAAGCAGGGTGGGCTTTGGGCGGGGAGGAAGGAGATGAGGGAGGTAAACGAGGGAACAGGCTGGATATTGAGGCTTCAGAAACGTATTGACCAACCGTGTGTATCAGAATGAAAGGGACGATTCGTCCTCAAAGCTATTAATAGAGGAAGGGACGATTATTAACACCACCGAGAACTAAACCTAAGGGTGCAGGTTTAGGGTGCATGTGGGATGAGTTAATTTAAAAGGTACGGGGAGGCCCAGGCGCCTCGGGGCCCTTCGCTTCCTCCTTCCTGTGGGCGGGCGACGGCTTCGAGGCAGCGGAGACAAAAAGGAAAACCCACGAGAAGAACGACGGCTTCGGGGGCGGATGAGGAGGAATAAAGAGGCAGACAGAATGGACAAAAAAGGGGGGCCAGCGCGTGAGGAGGAAGAATCCCCCCTCCGTTCGCCCCCCACCTTCGCGTTTCTGCCTCGCGCTGGAAAGGAGCCGCGCGCCGCCGCCATTTTCTCCGCCTCGGCTCCACACACGGGGAGGGGAAGAGAAAGGGCCGGCCTGGCTCGCGTCAGGCGGGGGTCCGGGGACGGAGGGCACGGGCGACCCCCTACGCCGCCCTCCCTCCAGCCGCCGCCTCTTCCCCGTCCCTCCCGCCGCCGTTGCTTTTCACCCCGGCCTCAGCACTTACGCGGAAGAATCCCGCGTCCATCTTGACTCCTCCTGCCTGGCCGCAGAGAGCGCTGCTCCGTCTCCCGACATGCACCGCGCGGCAGACGCGCGAGAGCCCGTCCTTCTCCGCTGCCCCCTCGCCCCCACCTCCTCTGGCTTAGTGAATCATCCTCCTTGCCGTCGCCGATCTCGTCACTTCGCGCGGGAATCAGGGGAGGGAAAGCAGCGGGCGGCCGGGCGGAGTCCCGTGACGCCTTCGGGAAAAAAGAGGCGGGCCCGAGGGACGGGAAAGCGAGGGAAAAAGAGAGAGACGGGCAGCTCAGCCAACGATCACCTCTCGTTTTAACCGGCATACCCAATCGTAGGGAGGGGAGAGGGTGGCGTCGTTGCAGTTCAGCCAATCAAGCGCTTCTGCTGGAAGGGGCGGAGGAAGGTTGCCGCGGTCAGAAGAGGGCGCTGCGGAGCGTCGTGACTCCTGCGTGTTTGCAGCCACGTTTTGCGAGAGGCTGCGGCCTTGCGCTCGCTTAGCATGAATGCGCGGGTGTCGTCGAGCGCACGTCCTGCTTGAGCTAGGGTTGCCCAGGTGTAGCCCTCGCGCACCGTTTAGTTCCACATCCCTTCACCCAAGGTGTTTCGTAAGGGTGATGTTCACAGGTGCGCGTGTCTTGATAGAGAAGAGGATGTAACTCTTACGCTTTCAAAATAAGTTGTTTAAAACACTCTTTTCAATATTGTGTTTCCATGTCGTGACCTGCCTTAAGGGTGAAGGGAGCGAGGAGCCTTTTTTTACAGATAAGGGCCACATTCCCTTCTAGGAAACCTTCCATGGGCCACATGCCAGTGGTGGGCGAGACAAAAGTGTAGAGCTGCGAGACGGTGAACTACAGTTCCCAGGGTTCTGTGGCGGAAGCCCGGACTGTTCACGCATGGTATAAATGTGCTTTAAACATTGTTTGCCCCCTCCCAACCCTATAAATCGATAAATGGGATATTTATTATTTATTTGGGATATGAAGGGAAAACGCAAGCTGCAGAGGAATTCCTGGGCCTTAAGAAACAATACAGGGCCATTGACGGTCCTCTCCACCCCGCCCTGAGGTGTGAACAGAGGCAGGAGATTTGGGAGACAATGGCAGAGGTTGGGGTCATGGTGTGAAAGGAAAATGTTCCCGTTTACTTGAAGCTAGGAGATAGCTGAAAAAAGCTATCTTGGCTGGCTGGCTGTCTTGCTGAAGGCAGACAGGGGGAGATGCCTTAAAAGCCAGTGCCACACTGCTTTGAGGAACAAGACCCTCTTGAAATGACTGTGCTGTAAGATCTGGATTCAGGTGGATAATATGTGAATAAATCATATTTCTTAAACGTACAACAGCCTCCATTGCGTCTTCAGTTCTACCAAGGAGCACAGACTCTGGTTGAGGGCCAAGACCCCTGGAATTCCATGCATGGCTTGGTAGGGATTGGAGTGGCCTGTAGCAGTATGATCACCGGGCTACAAGGAGGTATGAATAATAAAGAAATGAAACATTGATTTGTAAATTTCCACAAGAGGGAGCTGTATAGTTGAGTGTATGTTTCCGGGGGGGGGCAGTGCCTGCCAGCCAGCTGATGGGAGTTGCAGTCCAAAACATCTGGAGGGTGCTGGGGTGCTGCTGGTGACAACTGTTCTACACTTGGACACCCCTGGTATCTTGGTGCTTTTGTAAGGAATATCCTGTTGGAAAGGTAAAGGGTGCTATCAGTTTCAGAAGTTGTGCATGAGAGAGATTGCACACTTCCCTCTTTGGGTATTGCCAGTGGTCTGGTGATTTCATATGTCAACAATAAAACCTTGAATGAGGCTTAGTAGTGTGATAGGAATTTTGAGGTCTTAGATATATGTTAAATGTTCATATGTGTACCAACCAAGCACGTACATAGATCAGCACAGGAAGACCGACCTGGAACCATTTTTGATTCCCAAACTGTCCCAAACTGACCAAATGTTTTCTCTGCAAGGTCAAAGGAAAATGGAAAAGCCTCCCCATTGTCTTTTCCATCAAAAATCCTGTCTTAAGGGTATGTCTGTGTTTGAATAGGGTGAGCCTGTGACCTGACTCAGGAACTAATTACAGTGGTACCTCTAGATGTGAACGGGATCTGTTCCGGAGCCCCGTTCGCATCTAGAAGCAAATGTAACCAGCGACGGCATGTCTGTGCACACGTGCGTCGCTTTTTGCCGCTTCTGCGCATGCACGTGATGTCATTTTGAGCGTCTGCGCGTGCACAAGCGGCGAAACCCGGAAGTAACACACTCCGTTACTTCCGGGTTGCTGTGGATCGCAACTCGAACAAGCTCATCCCGAAGCACATTCAACCCAAGGTATGACTGTATTTATCATTACAAAAGACTGACCAGGCTCCCCAGGGTATCCAATCAAGTAACCTGCCAGACAGGAGATAAACAACGACAGGAGAAAAACATTCAAATTTCTGTTTTAGACCGCCTTTTCTGTGATGTAGGTATGATGTATCTGGGGTGGTGGTCTTGAGCTACACCCCTTCTGTGATGTATGTATGATGTTTCTGGGGGTGGTCTTGATCTACAGGATGGCAATTTCAAAATGTCTATATAAGGCCTTGTGCACCATTGTTCTGGGTTCCTCCTCCTTTCCTGTGTGTGAGGGGAGCACCCTGTTGCAATATATCAATAAAGATCAAGCTTACTAACTGCTTTGCTTCTCAATATTCTCTGGTTGGCCTCTGTTATTTTCTCCTATCAATAGGGAACCTATGTAAGGACTCTATATGGGCTCTTAGATACCCCATAAGGGAAAAAGGACAGAGATTTTGTTTACAACAGTAGCTAACAAGCAGCAAGCGCAAGTTCATTCAGCACAGGTGCAACATGCACATACCTGGGGGTCCCTTGCTGCTGTGTTCCGCGAAGCTTCTGAAACAAGTGCAAGGGCAGCCCATATTGCACTAGTTTAACCATGAATGAGGCTACCAGTGCATGAGCTCAACAGAGGCGCTTTCTCAGGGCTTTGCTTGAGCCTTAAGAAACTCAGGTCATAGTCCTATAACTATGCATAAAGTGGGCATATGATAATTCATATGTATAGGATACAAATCTGTGCCAATTTTAAGGGAAACCTGCCCTGTAAGCAAAGCGAACGTTTTTAGAGAGAAGGTAAAGAGGAGGAGATGCAAGGTTTCAGCCACCCACTAAGAATGAAGTGTGGCAGATGGCTACCTGGGGAAGAGCCTTCTTAGAAGTTTCACCCCATTTATGAAATGTTCTCCCCAAGGAGGCTCTTCCGATGCTTTGGTGCTATTCCCTTTAAAATAAAAAATAAAATCCTCAGACTTTTAAATTGCTGGATTCACCCTGATGGTTTTACACCGTTGGTTTAGATTTGTGCTTTCATTCTTCTCTTGCCTTTTGATTATTTGCAAACCCCACTGGGAACTTTATTCAAAGGACAAGGTAGACATCTTTATAACAGGGCATGTTGTTGGCTGCTGCCAGTCCAGCCAGTGGGTCTGGGATGATGGATGTTGTAGCCTGAGAACATCCAGTGGGGCACTGGTTCCCTACAATTGCATAATAATAATAATAATAATAATAATTACAAAAACTATGCCGATTGAAAATTGGCAGGGCCACTGGGGGCCAGATGTTGCTTGCGGCGTCACATCCGGCCCTCCTTTTAACACATGAGCCGAGGACACAGGAGTTCATACAAGAGCAACAATGCTGCTACTGTGCAAATGTACGCCGTGGGCCTGGTGAACTTTTTTGGTCGGATTATGACACACCCACTTCAGCAATACTAAACTCACGTGCTTACTGCCAACGTATTCTCCAGCCTCGATGTCTATGTAGAAAAAGGGATTTGTCACAAGACTTCTCTTCAAAACTGACAATAACCGTTGATGGGCAACCATTGTGAAACTTGCAATTCAGTGTGAAGAGCTGGTCTGTGCACATTCCAGCCATCCACTCACACTGTACACAGAGCACAACCTGGAACCTTGCATGGACTTGGCTTCCAGCCAACATGCCTAAACTACAAACTTGGTTTACACAGCCTTGCTTCTCTTGCTCCTCAGCAAGAATCCCTGGTGTTGCCTTTCCTTACTAGAAATCGACAAATCTGTCAAGTAGGCTTTCGAATCTTAAGTTCAGTTCTTCACACTGCTATATTGGTTTGCTTTTGTTTTTATGTCCACGTGAAAATTCCTCAGCATTTTAGGCACGTTGCTCTTAATACATTTTTGCAAGCACTTTCCTCTGTCTCTAAGCTGATAGAGCTACTGTTCCATCTCTACTACGGCCTGGTAGCATGGAAGCTAAAATCTATCTGGATATTTTTTTTTCTTTTGCCATAAATCTTTGAGTGTGAGGATGTGGGTTACTTCCATGTACCTCCATGCTGCTTTTGAAGCTCATCTATCTCATAGCTTGCTTTTCGTTTCATATGAAGAAGAAGAGTTTGGATTTTATATCCCGCCTTTCACTCCCCTTCAGGAGTCTCAAAGCAGCTAACATTCTCCTTTCCCTTCCTCCCCCACAACAAACACTCTGTGAGGTGAGTGGGGCTGAGAGACTTCAGAGAAGTGTGACTAGCCCAAGGTCACCCAGCAGCTGCATGTGGAGGAGCGGAGACGCGAACCTGGTTCACCAGATTACGAGACTACCGCTCTTAAGCACTACACCACACTGGCTCACCATATGGTGGGGTAAGCCACCCTTGAATACAGAAACTTCAGTTGGTCTAAAATTCCACAGCCAGATTACTGGCTGATGTTCTGTTTAAATATCATATAACCCATTTTAAAACCACTGTTATGGTTGCCAGCCATTTCTGGGACTAATTCAAGGTGCCTCAAATACCTGAAAAAGCACCTACTTCCCTACAGAGCCTCTTCAGTGCTGAGATCAGCAGACGGGACCCTCAAAACCTGGGGGGGGGGGATGTAGTCTGAGAGTTGTGGAACTCCCTTCCCACAGAGCTGTGTCTGGCACCTAGACTATAGAGCTTCTGGTGAATGCTGAAGACTTACCTCTTTACCCTGGCTCTTAACACTTGTGATGTATATTTTTAGGACCCAGCTTATTTCTGTGATTGTAAGTTCTAAACTGTTTTTAATATTGTGTTTTAATGTTGTAACCCATTCTGGCTCCTTACAGTGAAGGGTGGGGAGGAGAAGAAGAAGAAGAATTTCACTTTTCTGAGATTCTCTTTATATTAGAATTTCAGCAGAAGGATGTGGCATGCTCTTTTTTTAGGTGGGTCACAAATCACATAATTTATGGACACGTGAATGGTAAAATACGTTTGCAGTGTAAGCCTACACATGTCTACTCAGAAATAAACCTTGTGTAGATCAAGAGGTGTCATATCCTAGGAAATGACTGCAGCCTAAAGCATGCTGAATTGTGTTCAGCTCACACAACCATCTCAGATTAGGGATGGGTGAATCTGTCGGTTTTAATTTCTCTTGGTTTTTATTTTTCCAATCTTAAATTCCGTTTTCCACATTTGGTTATTTTTTTTTGTAAAGGCCTCATGAAAATCCATCAGCATTATTGTGTGAATTTCTCCTAATATGCCCGTCTGTATGCAATTTTACCCAATATACACAAATGCTCTAATGCATTTTTGTATGTTATTCTCACTAGCATACACATTTTATGCACACTTTACCCCAATAAATGAATTATTATGCACAGTACACAGCTGCAGAGCTGCACTACAAAATTCATAGAATTTTGAAGGTTGGCTGTGTTTTGGTTCTTGTATTTTAGAAAATACAAATTAGGTGGGTTTGCCTTTAGGCTTCCTCAGGCTTCCTCAACCTCAACCCTCCAGATGCTTTGAGACTACAATTCCCATCATCCCTGACCACTGGTCCTGCTAGCTAGGGATCATGGGAGTTGTAGGCCAAAAAAAATCTGGAGGGCTGAGGTTGAGGAAGCCTGGGCTAACTGAATCAAATTCTACCCTATCCTGACCGCAGATCCAGTGGTGGCTGGTGCCCATTGAAGGCAGGGATGCCAACAGTAGCTGGAGCCAGAGCCAGTCACAGGCAAAGCCAATCCTCGTTTTGTCCCCATCCTTGTTCTTGCTGAGTTCTACTAGGGCAACATGGAGACTAAAAAGGGGAAACAAACAGGCATGAGATTACTGCATTGCAGGAGGTTAGACTAGATGACACTTGGGACCCCTTCCAACACTATGATTCTATGATCCTCAATTAATTTACCTAATCCCTTTTTAAGGCTGTCGAAATTGGTGGCTATCACCAGATGTCGTGGTAATGAATTCCAGAATTTAACTGCATTGTACGCAGAAGTCTGTCATCTTATCTATGCTAAATCTCCCACCTTTCAGCATCATTAGATGCCCCCAGGTTCAAGTGTTAGGAGAGAGGAAATAAAACTTCTCTTTCTCCACACTATGCATAATTTAAATACCTCTATAATGGCCTACATTGCCTTTGCCCCCACTAAACTATTTAAGCCCCAAGCATGCTAACTTCCTCACAGGAGAGTTGCTCTAGCTACCCTGATCAATTAGGTGGCCTTTTCTCTTCTCCTTGTAAGAGGCCAAATGTTCAAATGCTCCCCATACTAGGGGGAAAAAAGACAAAGCACAGCTCCTTGAACACGGGAAAAGAGTCAGCCAAGCATCTCCCTAGCACTCAATCTGAAGCGGAGCGATGCTACTGAAGGTATAAACTTCTCTTTAATTTGGGGCATGAGGAGGCTTTGAAAACTGATTTACCACGGCTCCCTGCATCATTCTCATGGGAAACGAACAGGAGAAGGCCATTTCCTCCTACCCTACCTTAAATTCCTGACACTAGCACCTGCGAGGAGCAGGCTAGTTTGGGGGATTCTGCGCAGGCTGTGTTTTGTGTCACAGCTCTGCCCTCGAATACCCTGCTCCCACTCCACATCCCTCAGCACCTGCCGCCTAAGGCAGCCACTTCACTCCGCCTAACAGTATGGACGGCCTCGGGTGGATGGGAGTCCCCTTTGCCTCTTCAGAATCTCCAACCAGCAAAGGACCGCTCAGAATCCAAGCCCATGGGGAGCCTAATGTGAAGCAGCAGAAAACGGTGGAAGGGCATCTCTCGATCCAACTACGGGGGCAGCCTTGCCACCAGCTACCCTTATGTATCCGCAGCTGTAGAGACAAGACGCCACTCTTGCAACTGGGTGACATCCATTGTCCTGAGGATCTCGGTCTTTTCCTTTCTTAAAGAAACAGAAACATGGAGAGCTGGTCACAGTGCAACTCCAGTTAGCAGCTCCAGTGTTTAACTTCCTTTATGTTGACGAATCACAGGTCTTCCCAGAGCCTGTAAGGCCCATGTTTGGGTCTGATTTGTCATCCTCTGTGGCACTCATGCCTCAGGGCCTTCTGTTGGGCATTTGGATGTCCATGGGGACGAACGTCACTGTTGTGGTGCGACTGGGACTACTGGTGTCCTGCCCCAGCGTGGAGGGGGTTGTGGCTTTGGCGTTCTTCGGTTCCAGCTCCCGCTTTGTCCTCATGCGTCTACAAGGAGCAAAGCAAACAATGCATTATGTCTTGACGTAATGTCTCAGGGTGGTATCCATTTCCCCTTCCTCTGCACTATTGCCCAAGGTGGGAAGGAAACCTACAGAATCCTCTGTCCTCTAATGGGCATGCTGCGTGGTCAGCAGTCCCACATGATGAGCTATGCCACACCAACCCTCTATCTGCAGCCTGAAGTGCGGCAAACAGGCCCATTTGGACAGGATTTATCCACTCCAGGAACACAAGATTCCCAAAGTCACAAGGGAGGAATTGATGATGCAGCATCCCCCCCTTGCCACACTGCTGCCCTTCCCAGAAGATGGGAGTGGAAAGGCCACAGTTCAGTTGCAGATCATAAGCTTTGCCTGCAGAAGGTCCTAGACAGGATTAGGAAAAATTCCAGCCTGAAAACCTCAAGAGCTACTGCCAATTCTGAGCCAGATGAATGAACTGTCTGGCTTAGTATAAAGGCGGCTCCTTATGCTCTTAAAAGGGAGCAACCCTGATGTGCATTCTTGGTCCCTTCTCCATTGTCCTGAGTTACTGGATAGCTGTCGAAGCAGCCCCTGCTGTAGCTGCTCCCATGTGATCAAGATAACACAAAACAGGTCTATTTAAATACATCAAAAGAGGCAGCTGATAATGCATTTTGCCTCTTAGGTCACTGCTACTAAGCTCCACCCTCCTCTCTATTCACTGGATCACCCTTGCATATTTTGCCCCAAAGCAGCAGCATATCACCCTCTTCTCCATTCATTGGGTTGAATGCAATGCTAGTCCTACTCAGAAGACATCCATTAAGTACCTGACAAATTTAGGGCCACTGATTTCAGTGGGTCTACTCTGAGTAGAGCTTAGTTGGATACTGCCTTTTGGGTCTCCCTTGTATGGCGTATCACCTCCAAGTGAGGATCTTGCAAAAGCAAAAATCGTAGGGCCAGGCTGTGGAGCCGCACCACAAACACAAACATGAAGCAGATCCCGTGGAAACACCTGCGAAACGCAGGGAATGCTGCCCACAGCCTGCTTGTTCTCTTGAAAAATCAAAGGAACTTGAGCCCAAAGCCAAGTCACTGACTCACCTATTATACATTTTCAGCGAGAGGAGAACTGCCGTGAATATAACTATGATGCCAACTACAATGGCCGCCACAATCGCTCCAGAACCTAACAGGAGGAAGGAAAGAAAAACAATACTAAAGTGCTAGTTACAGGTAGGTAGCTGTGTTGGTCTGCCGTAGTCGAAACAAAATTAAAAAAATCCTTCCAACTAAGTTTGTTATTGGTATGAGCTTTCGTGTGCATGCACACTTCTTCAGATATTTTTCAATACTAAAGTGAATGGGGGTCAGCCAAGGTTTTGGATTTCAAAGTGTCTCCAGGGAGATCGATACCTTAGTTACATCTGAGGGCTCAGGAGGGTCCATAGCTCAGTGGTAGGGCATCTGCTATGCATGCAGACAGTCCCAGGTTCAATCCCTGGCATCTCTGGGTAGGGCTGGGAAATACCCTCATCTGAACCCCTGGAGAGCTGTTGCCAGTCAGAGTAGACCATTTTGGACTAGATCAGCCAATGATCTGACTCAATATAAGGTAGCTTAACTGTTTGGGGGAAGGGCCATAGCTCAGTGGTAGAGCATCTGCTTTGCATGCAGAAGGTCCCAGGTTCAATCCCAGGCACCTCCAGATAAGGGTTGGACTGACTCATGTTTGAAATGCTGGAGAGCCACTGCCAGGCAATGTAGGCTGTGTTGAACTAGCTGCTACCTGTCTTTATTTGTTCCTATTCAGTATGATTAAATATATATATATTATTATTTTCTTTGACTTTTTCACTTTCTCAGGAGCGTGGATACGACCACCCAACACTACCCATTTCTTAATCACAAACTTCTTTTGAGAAAGAACAGACTGTAATATCTCCTTTGAGCATGCACAATGATAGTAGGGTCAATCCTTTGAATCTGTGTCAGGGATTCTTTATTTTCAGAGGAAAAACAGCTTCCTTAGGACTGAAATAGGTGTGACTTGAGAGATCCAGGACTGGATTTTACATCATGATTTTTTTATCTCTTTAAAAAAGCTGTCAGTGGTCCTTCCTATTTTTTTTATGCCAGGGATAGCCAACCTGATGCTCTCCAAATGGTGATGGACAACTTTCAACATTTCTTACCATTGGCCATCCTGGCTGGGGCTGACATGTAGTCCAAAATTATCTTGAGGGCACCAGGTTGGCAAAGGCTGTTTCATCAGGACAGTGGTCCTGGAGCAGGAGATGTCTTCTTTTTAACTACCATGCTATTTCCCCCATTTAAAATGCCTCACACAATACCTGTTCAAAAACATGCAGAACTTAGGCATGCAACCCCAAAATGTCAGCTTTGCATTTATCTTACTCTGATAAAGAATTTGTTCTTGAGACTTTGTGGCTGCATCTGTTGAAGACACAGAATCCTCAGACACCGGCGCAGCTGTCGTCATCTTGATCCCAGCTAGGCAGAAGAAAGCAAGAGCTATTTTAGAACTGTGCAAAGCGAGCAAGGGGAGAAACAAAACAGGTGCAAGGAGATCACTCTTTGGGCCAATGCCTGATAGAGGAATATATACAGAACTCTTTGGTCTTATCCAGATAATGGGTTGCATCTAACGCTGTGTGAGTGGCGTCAGACTAGCGCAACCAGATTCCTTCTCTGCCTATGTGGTCCCTAAACCTGCTCCGGAGTCTGGCAATGGCACTCATGCTGAAACATCAGAAACAGAGGGAATGGTACACACACACACACACACACACACACACACAGAGCTGGGAGAAAAGAACCTGTCCACAGCAAATCTATCATGTACGTAAGTCACCAGTGAAGTATTTGGCATTGTAAACTACGGAGTGTATGAATGCCATTCAGATCCATTCCTACACAGAGACACCTGTATTGGTGGGGGGATAAGTAAGAGCATGTAAATGCCAATCAAATACAGAAAGCAAGTGTGTTGGCCATTCTATATAAAGCTAAAGAGAAGCTAAGAGGCCATTTGCATGAACAGTCATTCATGAAAATGCAATCATTCTAGCATTGCAAAGTTTGTTGATACTTGCAGTGGCACAGAAACAGCAAACAGTCTCACAGTGAGTGGAGCGGGCAGGGATGGCAGTGAAATGCAAAAAGTACAGCCTGTGACAATTCAATTACATCTTTGTCATTAGAGGTCCAAGTGACCGTGGTGGCTAGGAGAGGGGAGAGCCATGTATGGCACCTTGAGCTCCTTAGAGAGACCGTAATGCAATAAAGAAACCAAACAAACAAATAACACCTGGAAGGCACCACATTAGCCACCTCTGACATATACAAATGGCATAAAGGAAAGAATGAATTCTCTTTTATGTCTCAAAAGCTTCTCTGCCCCATTGCCTGAGGGAGATTCTTACCCACCACAGGCTAACAAGGTTTTACAGTTTCTCCGAAACAGCACAAAAACCTGACAACACTGTTTACCTGAGCTGTGAGTGGAGATTCTTCTTTGTGAATGGATGTTAGCTCTCTGAAATCAACAAGCATTCCAACCTCAGTGCTCAATTTTCGATCTGGCCTGGGCCAGAGCTACAGTTACTTGCAGGAAATTGACCCAATTTGTGACTATGCCAAGAACCCCACCCACACCCATGTCAGTGAAAGAGAGCTTAAGTCTTCTTCAGTTGCTTAAGGGTGAAAACTTCAGGTTTTGGAGGTGGAGGACCAGGGGAGCATCCTCAGTACAAAGCCTGAAAGGGCCAGTAAAGCAAGTGCAACAATTGCCAAGGACCATGATTCCAGCTCTACAATGACTGTTCTGTAGGTGGAATTTCAACCAATCCAATTTTTGAAAAATAAAAATGGGAATATTCAGATAGCTGCTGGCAGCCTGCGAGAATGTTGGCTTTCTTCTGAAGTTTTGCCCCCGGTTTTCAAAGCTTTGAATTGCAATGTTGTTTGTGTCCAAGCGGCCTTGCTATTTCTAGCCAAAATGGGGAGAAGCAAAAATGAAAATAACTCAGGCCCTGAATCCATAACTAGGTCATTCTCCTCTAAGTGAATGGCGCCTTTGTGTGTCCAAGGCTGAGTTACTTTTGTAACATGATAATCTCCTGTGGTCGGGGATACGTCCCCACGCTTCCTCGCCGCTCTCCCTCGTTTGAAAGAAGAATTGAAATCTCAAATGTTCTATTTTCCTAATCCACCAACCCTATGATATACGGTTTTTATAGTGAGTTCGCAGTTCTCCTGATTCAACCTTTCCGATACATAAAGATGGCTGCACCTTCCTAAAGCAGGATCTGCGGTGGTTTTACCACCATCCAATACAGTCCAAAACAGGCTGCTAGAAACTCATTTCTCACTTAATAAGGAAATAAATGCAGCAAGGGGCTGAGTCAAGGGACTGTGCTCTTCTTGCAAGAGGGTGGCAACATGGAAAGGCCAGCATGATGGGAAGCCGGAGGAAAAGGCTGGACAAATATTATTGTAAGGCAGCTGGTGTAAGGGCTACTCACACACAAGCTAGGTGGAGCTTTCACGTTGAAGGCTGTGTAGGGAGAGGAGAGAAATTCAATTCAGTTTGCATTTAAAGGTGAATAGATCTGGTTTACACTTTCCAAAACAACATGCGAACCAAAACACAGAGCCATCCTTTGAAATTCACGCTTCTAAGAACTTTGCAATGCAAAGTTACTCTAGCCAAGTAATGTCCTCAAAAGGTAAGAGTGTGCAAATTAATGCATGTATTAATGAAAATAACACACAAAAAGCATTAGGGAAAATTGCTTTGCAGAAAGGTGTGTATTAAGCAAAACTGCATACAAACACAAATTGAAGTAGAAATGCGAAGAAGTGAATTTAAGATCAGAAAATGAGAAAGAGAGAATTTGAAATTGACAGATTCACACATTCCTAGATGTTTGCCTTTGGGTACCAATTGCAGGGAGAGAAGCAAATAGCAAAGGATGGGAGAACTGATGGATAACCTCCTTCAGAAGCCGGATAGGGGAACTACGACCCAAAGCAGCTCAGATGACCACAGTATCTCCTGTACCAGCTCCGAGAGTTGGGGCTACCATGTTACAGTGATTGCACTCCTACTTACTGGGTCAGTTCCAGAGAGAAATAGTGGATGACTGTATCCTCAGGCCACTGGCAGCTGATCAGTTTTGTCCCCAATGCTATTTAATATCTATATGACTCTTCATTTTAAATGTTTGGATTTGTACACCAAGTTTTATTTGTGATGGGCAGTTGTGTTTTGTTTTCGTATTGCTTTTGTCTGGTTGTAGAAAATATTACTGCTGGATTTTGAAACCAACTGCAGTTTCCAAAGCATCTTCAAAGGCACTCGGAGCTGTCCGTGGTCCAGCAACCTTGACCAGGCTTGCCCTGGGGGTTCCAGTGTCAGACCAGAACACTACACTCGCAATCTAACAATATTTGGAGGACCACAGGTTCCCCACCACTGACCTACATGTGCTGTTCAACTGCTTCTTTAATTTTTGACTTGTGCTACTTGCAATATAGCTGAAATCTTATAGTTATCCTAACTAGTTAAACAATGGCAATACGTCTTGAACACACAGATGCTTTTACTTGGCCACAGTGAGAAACAGGCTGCTGAACTAGATGCCCCTTTGGTTTCTGTTGCAAGCCTTTGCAAGGCCTTGTTGTTTGGAGGTGTTCACACACCCTTAAATTGTATCCTCTGATGTGCAGACTAACAAACGGAGAATGAAAGAGCCCTTATTGGTGCAAAGAGACTTCTCCAGCAAGGCTGTAAGAATAAACACCCACCATCTACTTCCTCAGTGGTCTGCATATCTCACTGCCTTTCCTGCATTTGAACGTATAGGGCTGTAGCCAACTAAGTTTTACTCAGAGTAAGACCATTGACACTAATGGACCTAATAAATTTAACAATAATAATTTGGTCATGTTCATTAATTTCAACGGATCTATTCTGTGTAGGACTAGCACCAGATATAACCCATAGCTTATAATTATCAATCTGGTAGGGCATATAAATTAATATGTGCAGTTTTTATGTTTAAGTTAGGATCTATGAAATACTTTTATTGTTAGTGTCCATTTCCAATTTTCTTTCTCCCCCCCGCCCCACTATATTTGCAAAAAAATTAAAGGAGGGGCAGAATGGCTCACTGGGCTGGCTCTCTAACCTCAGCCCAGCATTTGCTAAAATAAATTGGTACCAGTAAGCACCGAGAAGCCCCCACCTATCTACCCACCCACTGCCGTTGCCTCCCTTCTTATTCATGCTGAATATAAAGACTCTTTTTCTCTTCCTGGACTGAACTCATTCGCTCGCCCTCTCCTCCTCCACAAAGCACCTGCCTTCTCTTCCCGCAACAGGAACCCGACTCTCAGTCTTGCACCTTTCTGTGGGGGAAAGACACTGCTAACGGATCTGTCAGCCTGCCCTCTCCCAACACCCCTGTCCTGACCTACTAGGTGTTCTCAGGAAGGAAAAAGGAGCCATTTCTTTGGGTAGGAGCTGAGTTGACTCTCCCTTTCAACAGGCTTGTCAGTTTGGGCAGCATTTCCTGGACGGCGGGAGAGAGGAGGCCAAGGTTTTTTATTATTATTATGATTATTAATCCGAGCACCGCTGCCGATTGCCAAAACAAGCAACTGGGTGTGTGGAAACTGGCCACAGGCGAGGGTGTGTGCATGTGGGATGGGGAGGACAGTCATTGCCCTTGTTACCTTTGTCTGAATCCATCAAAAATGCACAATAGACCACTTATAGCGCACACTGAGTCCAGCCATCAGAGTGGTGTAGTGGTTGGAGCGTTGGACTAGGACCCGGAAGACCAGGGTTCAAGTCCTTCCTTGGCCATGAAGCTCACTGGGTGGCCTCGGCCCAGTCACTGCCTCTCAGCCTAACCTACCTCACAAGGTTGTTGTGGGGATTAAATGAGGGGGAGAACCATCTACACCTCCTGGAGTTCCTTGGAGAAAAGGTGGGATAGAAATGCAATAAAACAAACAAACAAACTACTCTCCAATTAGGACTATGTATGGAACTTTAAAGGGGACGCGGGTGGGACTTCCGGGGTGGCGCCTCCGGAAAATGGCGGAATTCCCTTCGGACTGAAGGGAACCCGCTGCACGGAGGCTTGGGTCCTGCCGCTACGGCGCAGCGGGGACCCTCAAAAACCACAGGCGGAAGAAGCCTGTGGACGTGGGACTCGGCGGGCACCGAGAGCGCTCTCTCCCCTTGTACAGGAGCCCGGTACCGGGCTCCGGAGTGGGAGGTGCGTGGTGCTGTGAGTCGACTGCTTCCTCCGTGCAGCAAAGCCGCACTGCCGTGATCGGAGAGCGCTGCCATTTGCCTCGACAATTTGGCATCTAAAATATCTATCCGTGAGTACCTGATCTTGGAAGAGTTGAACCACTTTTAAGACTGGTGAATAAACAAATAATATTGGACTTGAAATTGAACTTAATTGGGACTCGGAATGGGAAGGTCTAAACAGGAAGTCGCCTTCCGTTCTTTTGTTATGTGAAGAAAGCAAAGACAAAATATACTAAAGCTTGAAAATTAAATTCTAAGAGAACTAGAATTCAACATCTAAGATTTCTGAACCCCCCCTTTGACTGCAGGAGAAGAAGGGGGTTGTATTTGGACTTTCAATCCTGCGGAAGTGAGTTTAAAATAAAGCAATTTTCCACCGCCCTGAACCAGGAGCGGGCTGTCAGAATTGACGTTCTGAAGTTTATCCAGCTCGACAGTTAGTTAAAAGAAGGGTAACATTTTGATTCTACTGTTGCCTCTTGAATTTGGAAGGGGAATTTTGGATAAAGTGTTTCTGGAAAAAGAAAGATTGTTGCTGTTGCTTTTATTCCTTTAAAAAAAAAAAAAAAATTTCCATCTAGTGGAATTTAGTGAAATTGCAACGCAGAGAGATTAAAAGAGAAGGACTATTGGACTATTGTCGTGGGAAAGAATTTTCTTTGACCTTGAAGGACAATGCTAGTACAAAGGCTTGAACAATTGTTCCTGGAAGGTTTTTCAAAACTAAGTGCCCAGCTGGACCAGATGCGTCAGGAGACGACCTTGATGATGGAAGTTACCAGAGCACAGCAGCAAACAAATGAAATTCAGTTAAAGGCTATACAAGCATATGAACCTGCTGTAGTGACGGAGGCTTCCAGAGATGGAGGGACCTTTGGACGGGCAAGATCAGCCTTTGAACTTGATAAATGAACTTAGGACAAACCAGATTCGGAAAGATGAAATGTGGTCAGATTTGGAAATGGGGGATGGATCGACCCCCCTCCATATGGTTATTTGGACCTTCCGAGTCTAGTGATGGGCTATCAGAGGATTGGAGTAGCCGAAGTCTCCAAGCTTTGTGGAAATTTGAAGTGGTATTATTTGCTGTCTGGCTTGGGCAATGGGTTTAGGATGGACTTGCTGCAAAGGGTCAAAAGCATTTTCTTGCTGGAGCATCCACGACTGGAAAGGAATCATCAACAAGAGTGGCGAAAGGGGCAAAAAAGAGACTTGAGGGCCTCGGATACTGAGACAACCAGGTTAAGGAGCCGGATTATCGAGGTTAAAGGACTGACAATCCGGGTCCAGGGAGGGAGGTTGGAAGCTGACTGGACTGAATTTGACTTATTATTTTTCCTTTTTATTTTTAATATTGGGAATGCTTACAAATGTTTGAAGGATGTTGAATGAAATTACATGGCTTAAGTAAGGATTGGTAAATGATTCGTAAAAGGTAATGATGCAAGAATTTGGTAAATATTGAATATAAGCTATGAGTCTTAAAGTTTTTATATGACAAGAGGAAAATAGAATAAGGAAACGTAATGACAGATTGTTATGAAAAAAACAGAAAGGATTTGCTGTAAAATTAAAAATTAAGAAACAAAAGAGGGGAGGAGGAGGAAGTCTAGAAAGGAAGTCAATAGAGATTGTAAAGGACTTTATATTTTTGTTTTTTTTGTTTCTCTTTTTTTTTCTTTGCGGCTGGGTTTTCTTTTCTTTTTTGTTTATGTACTATTTTTGTTTTTTGTATTCTTAAATTTTTTTTTGGAAATTTTTGTTGTTATTCTTTGAAAACTTAATAAATATCAATTATAAAAAAAAATAAAATAAAGGGGACGCGGGTGGTGCTGTGGGTTAAACCACAGAGCCTAGGACTTGCCGATCATAAGGTTGGTGATTCGAATCCCCGCAATGGGGTGAGCTCCCGTTGCTCGGTCCCTGCTCCTTCCAACCTAGCAGTTTGAAAGCACGTCAAAATGCAAGTAGATAAATAGGTACCACTCTGGTGGGAAGGTAAACGGCGTTTCCGACTGGACCTAATGGTCAGGGGTCCCTTTACCTTTTACCTTTTTATGGAACTTTAACTGTAAGCTGGTTCATGGGTTCTGTCTCTTTGTCACACGCTATCATGACCAAGAAATGGAATCCTGGGCTGGGCTGGGCAGGGCAGTGGCCAGCTGTAATTCAGCAACATTTGGAGAGCCACGGGTTCCCCACCTCTGCACGAGAGTCAAACAGAAAAGGGCTGTGATAGGCCTAGGAACATAGGACACATTCAAGGCCTTGATAACATAAAGCCATTCACTTAGAAGGATTTTCTGCTGTTGCCCCTATACTACAAAATGTGCTTCCCTCTGCCGTTTGTGAAGCAGCTTCAGACATTTTATAAAGACTCAACTTTTTGCCCAGGCTTCCCCTGACCCATAAAAAATGGACCGTGGTTTATGTGTACAAGTCCTCCAAATGATTGTTTTGTTCTTTTTTTATCTGTTTTTATCCAGCTTTTTCATAGGTTTCAGTTTGTATTTTTATGATATTGGGTTGTTTTCAACTTTTACTCAGAGTGGACCCACTGAAATTAATGGCCGGGATGACTATTAATGTCCATTAATTTCAATGGGTCTAATCTGAGTAAAGGTTAGTTGGGTCAGTGCATCTGACTGCTAAACCAGAAGGTTAGTGGTTTAGAGCCCACCCTGGGATGGCTGTAGGCAGGGGGTTGGACTAGATGACCCTTGGTGTCCCTTCCAACTCTACAATTCTGTGATTATGACTCCTTAGTTGTTGTTTTTAATATTGTATACCACTTAAGAGGTGTTTTTTTACTTTTTTTAGCAGTTTAGAAATGCTTTTAAATAAACAAAACATAGCTGCGGGGAGATTTTGCATGAGAATAGTTTGAGTACATCTCTTCCTCAGAGAGAGGGGGGGACTGTAGGGGGGGGACACATCCATTCCTAGTTATGCTTTGCTGGCTTCATGTTTGCCTCCCTGAAGGCAAGGTGGAGCCTGCTGCACCCAATAGCCCATTCTGGCTTCCTAGTGTAAACATTCTCCCATCTAACATTCCCTCTCCTATTACACTTTGGGTCAAGCTAATACAGGCAGCTGCCTCAGGCCTGTAGTTACCAGAGAGGCCTCACAGCATCCAACAGGTAGGCCTCCCCACCCTCCTATTAATCAAGGGCTGCCTACACATTAATTTGACAGCTGACCTACAGTCCAAAGAGGAGGATGGAGGATCGGCATGACTCCCTTCAACACTTAAGCACACACTACAAAACCCAACTCTGGGATGCATTTAAAGCGCTGTGGTGCCACTTCAAACAGTCATGCTCCCCCCCCCAAGAGCTGTAGTTTGTTCACGGTGCTGAGAGTTGTAGGGAGACTCTTTTCACAGAAGTAAAGTTTCTGGAAGTGAAGAGGGATTGTTAAGCCATTCTGGGAATTGTAGCTTTGTGAGGGGAATTGTGGTTTCTGAACAACTCTCAGCACTCTTTAACAAACTACAGCTCCCAGAATTATTTGGGGGAAGCCATGGCTGTTGAAAGTGTATCACAGTACTTTTGAATGTGGCCTTAGTCTGATCTCACCCTGCAATGGAAGATATGGGGCCCCTCTGGACAGCCCTTTTATTGTGTGTCCATGACGATTTGTGTTCATGATGGCATCAGGAAGGTTATATGTGATCCTGCTGTCCTTACTGCTTGTGCTAGTTTCCAGTCATTGCATGCTCTGTAACTTCCTGCTGAAATCCTGTAACCTCTTATAGCACAAATGTTACAGGAGGAAGGGGGAGTGTTGCCCCACTTTTGTTGCGCTATTGCGCAAGAGCACCCCTCCAGATGGCAACAGTGCAGTAACACTGCAGAGCAACCAAGCGGAATGATTTTGTGAACAGTCCAGTACAAATCAAACCCTAATGCACTATTATTGTGTCAGTGACATGTTGCAACACATACATGCAGTTCTGGAAGAGCTACTAGTTCTCACTGAGGTGATAAACTGATGTCTCTGGGCTGCTCCACTTCAGACTGTGCAAGCCACTTCAGGTTTACATGACAGAACGCTCATGATGGATGGCTCAGTCAGTACAGCATGAGATTCTTAATCTCAAGGTCATGGGTTCCAGCCCCACATTGGGCAAAAGATTCCTGCAATGCAGAGGGTTGGACTCTATGACCTTCATGCTCCCTTCCAACCCTACAATTCGATGGTTCTATGATTCTTCCTTACATGCTCCCAAGGAAAACAAATGTCAAAAAGAAAAGATCTAGCTTTCTCCTTGCTAGAATACGTCTTTTAAGAGTCTGTTTAATCTTTTTATTTTTAAAGAAAAAACAGCCTTCCATGTGCATAAATCAAAAGGCCCTTGTTGAACTCCGGTTAACGATAGTCAATTGCATCAAGCAACCGAAATTGCTTGCACTAGCAGAACTGTTTAGTTGCATAGCGCCCTATGGTTCCCCTCCCCCTTTTGGATCAACACAGCCACCTCTTTTATTTTAAAAAGTACATCTGTACATTCAAGTAGTAGTATTTTTATTGTTTTGCTATAAGCCATAACTAAAAAAGAATTCAGATTTAAGCCACGAATTTAGCTCTTCATTTCCAGCCCTTAAATTCCAGGCCACCAGTGCAAATAAGGAAACACACAAAGTAACAGTTTTTGTTATCAAGCAGCGAAAAAGCCCCATACAAACTCACTAAACGTAACAAAATTCTCAGACAAATCAAACTCAGACAAATATTTTTCACATGGTTTCTTATGCATTCGGTTACATGATAGGTGCATGGGCCAGGAAGCATCAGTGCACACATTTCTGCCTTAATGACAAAGTACACAAGTGATTTCAGATTGCATCTCCCATCAAATAATTACCACTTTCAAAACGAACATTTCCTTGTCATCAAGAAAGCACTGATTAGAAGCCATACAGGCACACTTCACGGCCAGTTATTAACTCTTTTTCAGAATTCAGCTGACCCCAGCAAAATTCATTTTACACTCGCAAGCTCCAAGTGCAACAACCAGCGGAGCCAAACGCACAGGAACCCATTGGTAAGGAAACCCCACTAGTAGGCACAATCTTGGCATGCTTCAAAAACATATGCATGGTAGAAAAATAATACATACGATTCCAGAGCACGAACATTCTGGAGCAAGTCAGAAGGACTAGGTGAGCGCATGCAAACTCTCAGACTAGCCTTCTCTTGTCTAGGGACATTAATTAGCATTTGCGTGGCTTAATGATTTCCTCCTAAGTTGGTCCCATTTTGTGCATGCTGTTCATTTCCTTATTGCCTCCTTTGGTGCAAAAAAAAAAAAAAAAAAATTCCTTATAAAATCGCAATTAAACCTTCCTGGTTATTTATGGCAGGAAACTCCTGGCCCAAAGGGTGTAATAGTCATAACTGGAAATTCTCTTCTCTCCCATTTTTATTTTGTCATATGACTCACACCAACAGGTAAGGTTAGAGGAGCTGGTTCGAAGTAGAATAAGGAAGGAGTTAAACTCACAATGGCACAGGAATAATCTGTCCAGCAATTAGTGGATACACTTGGAATACTGTGTATGGTTCTGATTGCCACACCTCAAAGTTTTTGGAGCATCTACCACACTGGGTGGGACAGGCACATGCAGAAGGCAAAGCAACCCTTGAAAGACTGCAGCCTCCAAACCATTTCGGATGTTATTTCATCCTTGGAGCATAAAGCACTTTTCACCATTCTGAAACAGAGGAAATCAAAACAATGGACTCCCTGCCGGCCTCAGAGATGAAGGAGGGAAGTTGTTACCAAAAACATATTGTAACATAGTATAATCCACCAGGAGATAACATTAACTTCCTGAATTGCTTTCTATGGCACTATCTCAAATCACGTAATGGTGAATATGAGAGGCCACTGGTTCAGTAGCCAAATAAAGCAAGAAGTTTCACATCGGTCTCATGTTTCTTTCCTGCCCCAAAGAGGTGGACTGCAGCCAGTTTCAGTGCACAACAATGCAAAAACGTGGGTTCTGTTCTCCTGCTGCAGAGATCACAATGCCCTCTTTGCAGTCGTGGAACCCAGAGCATTGTGTGGCTCAACTAAAGGGCGTATTCGAAGTGCCAGAGGAATCACACTGCACTCAAACAAGTATGCTGCTCCAGAGGTGGGAACCCTGTGGTCCACAACCTAATTTCGAAAGCCTTCTGTAAGTGAACAGTACAAACTGTCAGCAAGAGCATTCTGTCCCTTCCCTGGCAGCCCATGGGGGATGGAGGAGGGGAAGGGACAAAGACACAGAGAGAAATTAGGTGGCCTTACCATTATTAGTTTTGGCTCCACCCACAGCTTGCAAGTGGTGCCGTAAGACTACGTCAGGGCAATGTGGCTCTGAACAGCAAAAAGCTTGTCTATCCTTACAGTACTCCTATACGTTATTCATGTATCATTTTCATACACACAGACAGACATCATCTATCATACAGCTAAGGATGGGCAAATCTCTGTTTTGGTTTCTCATTTTTCCAATCTTCAGCTCTTTACATTTCCACAATAGTTTGCAGATTTTTAAAAAATTGCTCATGAGCACCTTAGTGTGAATTTCTCCTAATATTCACATGTTGGTTTGCAGTTTTGTCTAATATACACTTTTGTTTGCAAACTAATGCATGTTTGCATGTTATTTGCACTACTATTACTTTTAAAATTTCTGTGCACACTTTGCCCCAGTACAGTATATACATTTCTGTTCATATTCCTTGGTGGGAAAACCACACTGCAAAGCTGAGAGACATGCAGATTTCAAATGATGTCTGTGCTTTGGTTCACACATTGTTTCGGAAGCTGTAAATTTAGTTGGTTTACCTTCAGGTGTGAACGGAATCGAATTTCTCCTCCGTACATCCTTATGTAATGCACTCCCTAAAAAGACTTGCCCTGCACCTTCATCTGGTGATAATTTCGCGCCAGGTAGATTTTGAAATTTTCCCAACTTTTTTCATCTTAACAAAGGTTTAGAGGTTTAGAGAGGATAGGAGACAGAATAATCTGTTCATAGAGAAGTGGAGAATGTTTGTTACGTAGGAGTAACAAAGTACAATGAAACATACGTCTTATGTTATTGGGTGCATTGCAGTATGTACTTTTTATAACAAAATGCATTATTTTGTTGTGGATTTATAAATTG